CATATATCAACAATTTGGAAAGGCATCAAATTAAGGAGCTATCAATGCATCTCAAGGATCCAGGAAAACAATAGCAAATCAAACCCAAAATTAGCAGAAGAAAAGAAATAATTAAAAATAGGGAAGGGCCAGCGCTGCGGCTCACTTGGCTAATCCTCCACCTGCAGCGTAGGCACTCCAGGTTCTAGTCCCGGTTGCTCCTCTTCCAGTCCAGCTCTCTGCTATGGCCCAGAAAGCCAGTGGAGGATGGCCCAAGTGCTTGGGCCCTGCACCTGCATGGGAGACCAGGAGGAAGCACCTGGCTCCTGTCTTTGGATCGGCGCAGCGCGCCAGCTGTGGTGGCCATTTGGGGGGTGAACCAAAGAAAGACCTTTCTCTCTGTCTCTAACTCTGCCTGTCAAAAAAAAAAAAAAAAAATAGGGAAGGAATAAACAAACATGAAACCAAAAAAACAATACAAGAGTTCAGCGAAACAAAAAGCTGGTTTTTTTAATAAATAAATTTGATGCACCACTGGCCTAACAAAAACAATTAATTAATTAAAAAAAGCCCCTACCTTACACCTTACACAAAAATGCACTGAAAATAGATCAAAGACCGAAATCTACAAACCAATATTCTCAAATTAGAGAACATAGGGGAAACCTTGCAAGACACTGGCACAGGCAAAGACTTCTTGGAAAAGCCTCCAGAGGCACAGGCATTCAAAGCCAAAAATCAACAAATGGGATTACATCAAATTGAGAAGCTTCTGAACTGCAAAAGAAACACTCAGCAAAGAAATTATTTGCAAACTACTCAACTTTTAAAGGACTGATAACCAGAATACATAAAGAGCTCAAGAAACTCAACAACACCAAAACAACTCAGTTAAGAAATGGACAAATTACTCAAACAGGCATTTTTCAAAAGTGGAAATCCAAATGACCAACAGACATATTAAAAAATGCTCAGGATCACTAGACACCAGAGAAATGCAAATCAGAACCACAGTGAGGTTCCATGTCATCCCTGTTAGAACGGCTCTCATACAGAATTCAACAAACAACAAATGCTGGTGAGGATGTGTAGAAAATGGTACTCTAATCCACTTTTGGTGGGATTAGCATATGAGAGTTATCTGCAACCCCAAGTATACTGGTGCTTAATTCACAATGGCTAAGGTATGGAATCAACCCAAATGTTCGTCAACTGAAGACTGGATAAAGAAATTATGGGATATGTACACCTTGGAATACTACACAGCATTTACAAAAATGAAATCCTTTTGTTTGCAACAAAATGGATGAAACTGGAAAACATTACACTTAGTGAATATCATATGTTCTCTCTGATGTGTGGTAAGAATAGAGTACCTAAAAGGTAGTCTGCAGAAGTGAAACTGACACTTTGAGATGCAAAGACTTTGAACAGTCCTTGTCTCGACTGCTGAGACACAGTATTGTTTTCATACTGTTTGTTGAATTCTTTACTTAGTGTAAGGTATCTTATGTGTATAAAGTTAACTGAAAATAGATCTTAGTAAAATAAATACAAATGGGAATAGGAGAGGGAAAAGGAAGAAGGGAGGGAAGTAGGTAGGGTGGAAGAACCATTATGTTCCCAATTTTGTATTTATGAAATTCATGAAGTTTGTATACATTAAATAAAAGGTTAAAAGGTAAAATAAATAAAGTAAAATAATTTTTTCTGACTTAAGCAGACTGGATCTAGGTTTGTCTTACTTCTCCACATTTCCTCAAAGATCCACTTTAAATTTACTTGTTCTGCATCCCATTTGTCTGTCCTTCAATCTTGAGTTTATTACTAAGGAGCATCTTTTAACCTTAAATAAACAGGCCGACTGCTTTATTAAATAATGTAGGGTAAAGGATACATACCTGTCCTATTAAAAGCCCAGAGACAAAAGCCTTTCCTTGGAGACTGATGTTTGAAAGATACTGGCCAACAGTCTCTTCTACAATGTAGGTTCTTCCCATTATTGAGATTTAATGCAGCCTCCTAAATTATAAGAAAAACATATATAGCATTTTTAGGTAAATATACAATTGTGATATTTTCAACATGCGTAGTATAGCAAGTGAAGTGGAATCATCCTATGTTTATAGTGACTGCTTATTCAAAGGAATTTTTCCTTGCAAAGTTCAAATGTGGCTTCAGAATCCTTTTCCACAAAGTGCCACAGAAAATAGCTACCAGAGTTCATGAGATGTCAAACCTATCTCACGCTTAGGATAAGGGAGAGGACACTGAACTCAGAGTCAGCACACCTGATTTGTTATTTAGATGTGCACCTTTAGATCATGTTTGATCAACTGCTGAGCTGCCGTGTCATGAATTTCTGAATAGTTCATTCGAAGTAGAGAGAATCAATCCATTTACTCAATAAGCATATACTGAAGAATTATTATTTGCTGAAAACTGCACCAGATGGGATGACACGTTTTATCTCTGCCCTTGAGTACTTCAGAAGTGGTATATAGGCAAATAACAGTAATAGCAATGTTTATACATCTTGTCTTGTACAGGTACTTCATATATGTATAACATTTAACAGATGCACAGACTCCATGAAGTAGGTACTACCATGATCCTAATTTTATAGATTAAGAAACTGAAGTAAAAAATGTTGGTTAAGTAACTCTCCTGTATGACAAGGCTGGTAAGTGGACAAGGCGGGACTTACATTCAGGCAGTCTGCCTCTAAAATCCAAGGTCTTCAATATTGCTCTCACCTGAGAAATTGCACAGAGTCCCTCAATTAACTCATTACTAACAGTAGTTCTTATTCTGCACTATCCCTCAGTCTGCAGATGGAAGTCAGTATGTTCCTCTCACTGGCCAGTTTAGAAGTAAGAGCCGTGGCCGGCGCTGCGGCTCACTAGGCTAATCCTCCGCCTTGCGGCGCCGGCACACCGGGTTCTAGTCCCGGTCGGGGCGCCGGATTCTGTCCCGGTTGCCCCTCTTCCAGGCCAGCTCTCTGCTGTGGCCAGGGAGTGCAGTGGAGGATGGCCCAGGTCCTTGGGCCCTGCACCCCATGGGAGACCAGGAGAAGCACCTGGCTCCTGCCATCGGATCAGCGCGGTGCGCCGGCCGCGGCGGCCATTGGAGGGTGAACCAATGGCAAAGGAAGACCTTTCTCTCTGTCTCTCTCTCTCACTGTCCACTCTGCCTGTCAAAAAAAAAAAAAAAAAAAAGGTAAGCGTTACAGAGAGAGCCATCTTCTATCTGCAAGTTCACTCCCCAGATGGCTACAACAGTCAGGGCTGGGCCTGGCAAAAGCCAGGAGCCAGGAGCTTCTTCCAGGTCTCCCATATGGGTGCAGAGGCCCAAGCACTTGGGCCATCTTCTACTGCTCCTCCAGGAGCCGGATCAGAAGTGGAGCAGCCGGGACTCCAACCGGTGTCCATATGGGATGCGCGCGTCGCAGGCCCGCGGCCCAACGCTCTCTGTCCGCCCCATGGATGATGGGTTGGGGGCCTCAGTGCCGGGATCCGAGACGAGTTAGCCTCCTGGACTCCAGTATCCTAATCCAGGAATCAAAGGGCCCGGACCCTGGTGTCCGCCGCGGGCGGCTCTCAGCACAGCGCCCAGGTCGGATCCTGAAGCCCCTTACTCACCTACCTCAACCCCCACAGGCCGTCTTCTGAGCACCCGGGGGTGGGGGCGGGGTGGGGGCACACGTCTCCGGTGAGCGCTCACTCAGCCAGGCGGGGGCCGGACCCTGGTGTCCGCCGCGGGCGGCTCTCAGCACAGCGCCCAGGTCGGATCCTGAAGCCCCTTACTCACCTACCTCGACCCCCACAGGCCGTCTTCAGAGCACCCAGTGTGGGGGCGGGGTGGGGGGGTACACGTCTCTGGTGAGCGCTCACTCAGCCAGGCGGGGGCCCGGACCCTGGTGTCCGCCGCGGGCGGCTCTCAGCACAGCGCCCAGGTCGGATCCTGAAGCCCCTTACTCACCTACCTCGACCCGCACAGGCCGTCTTCTGAGCACCCAGTGTGGGGGCGGGGTGGGGGGGCACACGTCTCCGGTGAGCGAGCACTCAGCCAGGCGGGGGCCCGGACCGCGGCGACGCCGGGAGCACCTGAGGAACGCCCGGGCTCAAGAAAGACAACCCGACAAATTCTGCCAGAAGAGCAACCAGCCCGAAGCGGTTCCTACTCCCGCTGCCCGAGCCCCAGCGCGCCCGCCCGCCAGCCCGCCCCGGCCGTCGGGTCCGCGGTTGCCCGCAAGGCGCCTCCCTCGGCAGCGGACCCGAGCGAGCACCGGCGGGAGTCCGCCCGCTCCCTACGCCTCTCCGGACACCCTCAGGCTGACTGACCTCCCGCAGAACGTGCACGCGTGGCGCTCGAGCCCGACCGACTTGGCTCCGCCGCGGCCGTGCGCTCGCGTGCCGGGACCGGCTTCTAGCGGCCAGACTCCTTCCAGGTGCCAACTCCACGGCCCCTGAGTTCATCAGCAAGCGACTCACGCCTATTCCCCGGGGGGTCTCGGTCAGGCGGCGCAGATTGATGACGCGCGCCTCCGCCGGAGCGACAGCGGTCGCCACCCCGCCCCCTTGCGGACGCCATTGAGAGCGTGGCGGTAGCCCGGCGCCGGCCCGCCGACTCGGCCCGGGACCGACCGATGCCCTTCTAAGTGGGCTCAGTGTTCTCGGAAACCGCCTTAAAGGACGACCAAGGCCAAGCCGCGGGCTGGGGACGGTAAAGGCCTCCCCCCCGTTGCGGGGAGGGAAGGTTGGTTTGACGAATCCCGAGTGTGGGCGCCACCGGGGCGGACAAGTGGGGCTCCCCACCTTAGAGAAAGAGCCCGGGGCGAGGAGGAAGGAAGAAGCGGAACGGGCGGTACGGGACGGCGTTTGCGGCAGGAAGGGAAAGAGCGAGACACCACTTCCCCGGGGGCTGCGAGGCCGGAAGCGGCCCGGATCCGGAAACCGGCGCGCTGCCGCAGTCGGGCCGCGGGCGCTGGGGGCGTTTCGGGCCGCGGCTCACGGGACTCGCCTTCCCAGGTTGCCGCCGCGGGACCCTCCGGCGGGCGGGCGCTCGAGAGCCGCCGAGCGAGACGGCGGAGGCGGCCCAGGCGCCCGGGCCGTGCGGGTCGTCGCCCTTCTCCTCGGACGCCGCCGCCGCCGCGGCCCCCGGCGCGGTCGACATGGCGGCCGTGCTGCAGCAAGTCCTGGAGCGCGCGGAGCTCAACAAGCTGCCCAAGGCCGTGCAGAGCAAACTGGAGAAGTTTCTCGCCGACCAGCAGTCGGAGATCGACGGCCTGAAGGGGCGGCACGAGAAGTTCAAGGTGGAGAGCGGTGAGTCCTCGGGCCCCGGGTTTGCGGACGGCGCGGCCGTTCGTGCCGGGAGGGGTGGTCGCGGGACCCCGGCCGGCCTCCGAGGAGTGGGGTTCGTGGACGGCGGCGCGGCGGGGCTCGGGTGCGCTCGCTGGGCGCCGCGGCGGTCCGCGGCGGTCCGCGGGGGCGGGCAGCGGCCGGGGCGCCGCCGCCGCGAGCGGAGACCGGGACGGGCAGTGCCTGCCGCCGCCGCGCGCTGCGAGGGGTCGGCTCCGGCTTTTGTGCTCGCTGCCCGGGAGCTCTGAGTGAGTGGCGCCCCCGGGGTCGGCTCGCGCCCACGGCTGGTCTCGCGACCCCGCGCGTTCCGGCCGCGGCTGCGTGCCCGGCGCGCCGCCGGCCCCTCGCCTTGGGACTCCGGCCATTTCACTTCCACCTCCGTGTGGTCACTTGATGTGTTTGGCGGGCGTTGCGTGGACTGTCTTACCGCAGGTTTTTCTAAGCAAAGCAGTTTCAGTCTGAACGGTTCTTCCCTGCACTGGGTTTTCTCTCCGGTCGGCTGCGTGCTGGGCACTCTGGACGCGCGGGGAGCCCGCCTCGGGGTCCTTCCTTCTTGGAGGCCTTCGTCTCTGTCGTGTGAGATAGGGTAGAGAAGTGCTCTGTCAGTTCTCAGTCCATATTTATTCAGTTTCTGCTAGCCTGCGCTTTAAAGTCAAGGCTGTTAGACGTATGTACTGGCTGCACGGACCGGTGTTTGAAGCCGTCTCTTCTTCTGCAGAACAACAGTACTTTGAGATAGAGAAGAGGCTGTCCCACAGTCAGGAGAGACTTGTGCATGAGACCCGAGAGTGCCAGAGCCTAAGGACGGAGCTGGAGAAGCTGAGTAAGTATTGGGTGGCATCTTTCTACGTGTTGTTAGAGCTTTGGCGTCTTCAGACTTGCTTTATTTGCTTTGGGAACGTTTACTTACTGTTTGTGAAAATGCTGCTTAGGCATCACTGGTTTTGTTTAGAGCAGCATTTTGATTTTTCACTTCAGCAGTAAGGACTTGGTATGCATGTATAGTCGGGAGACCTGGGGTCTAATTTTGACTTTGCTATTAAATAGAGCAGTTTCGCTGGGGCTGGCGTTGCATCGCATTGAGTTAGGCTGCCACTAGTGACGGCAGCATCCTGTGGCAGACACCAGGTCAGGTCCCAGCTGCTCTCCCTCCAATCCGGCTTCCTACTGATGTGCCTGAGAAAGCAGCGGAAGATGGCCCACACACTTGGGTCCCTGCCACGCATGTGGGAGACCTGCAGAGCGTTCTGGGCTTCCAGCTTTGACCTGGCCCAACTCTGGAGCCCCTGACATTTGGGTAGTGAATGGGTGGATGGGAGATCTCGTCTTACCCTCTCTGTCACTCTGCTTTTCAAATAAATAAATTTAAAATTTAAGGGCAGTTTTTCGATATGTAGATCATAGGTATGTGATTGGAGTTTATAAGGTAGCCTGACCCACAGGCCCATCTAATACAGCTTTGCATATCAAATAAGATGATATATTTTCTTCAGAGATTTATTTATTTGAAAGGCAGTGTTACAGAGAGGCAGAGGCAGTGAGAGAGATCTTCCATCTGCTGGTTCACTCCCCAAATGGCCTCAATGGCCAGGGCTGGGCCAGTTCAAAGCATGGAGCCAGGAGCTTCAGCCAATCTCACACGTGGGTAGAGGGCTCCAAGCACTTGGGCCATCTTCTGATGCTTTCCCAGGCACATTAGCAGGGAACTGGATCGGAAGTGGAGCAGCCAGGACTAGAACCAGTGCCCATATGAGATACCAGCAGTGTGGGCAGTGGCTTTACCCATTATGTCACAGTGCCAGCCCCCATAAGATGATATTTTTGAAAGCATTTTGGGAAAGTGTAAGTGTTATGCTATTGAAGAACATTCTGGAGACAGGGCAGCGTATTTTAAATGTTGCTGTATAATACAGTAGATGAGGAATGCATTCATGAAGTTCAGTGTTTTGGGTAGCTGTTGAGTAAAAACATCCATTGTAAGTTTTAAGCTAATGTGTGCATGTTTATAAAACTCCATTTATCTAGACAATCAACTGAAGGTACTGACTGAGAAAAACAAAGAGTTGGAAAGTGCTCAAGACCGCACTACTGCCATTCAGGTGAGTTATTTCTATGAATTTAAATTAATTGTAACTGTGGTACTTAAGATTTTATATTCAAATTGTCTTATCAATTAGTAGTAGGAAGATGCATGAAGTGTTCTATTAGAAGAAGCTACCAATGAAAACATGTCTATACAAGTTCCTTAATTAGGTCCTTTAAGTTTTATCAATAGATTGGACATTGCTTTTATTCAGTAGAAATTATCTATGAATAGTTACTATAGTCCAGGCATTGTTCCAAGTGTTTTGATATCGTTAATATTGAGTGCATCCACATTGGCCACCATTTCCTTAGAGCAGCAGTGAGGGTAACAGGTTGAATATAATCACCAGGATTGCTGACTAACTGATTTAGTGAGTGGTTATGACCAGTGATTTGTTAACCAGATAGAACGTTAGGTTCTACTATATTCATAGATACGGATATAGATATATGTTTTAATTTGTATTTGATTTAAGGTGTAGAGGTAGCAATTTCTTCAGATTTCTAAAATAAAGAGAAAAAATTTCTCCTTCCAGAATCTTGCAACATGAAAGCCCTATAATATACCTAGAAATAACTTTGCAAGAGAGGTAAATTGCTTACAGAAAGAAAACCTTTCAAGACACTCCTCAATTTTACTAAAAACATTAACAGTACGAGTATGCATTTATAGATGGAGGTGTATAGCATGCTCCTAGATGGAGACATTGTCAAGATTAGTATGTTTTTGATATCAAACGTTTGACTCCTCTCTCTTTTTTTTTTTTTTTTTTTTTTTTTTTTTTAAGATTTATAGATTTATTTGAATAGTTACAAAGAAAGAACTTGCATCTACTGGTTCACTCCCCAAGGTGGTCATGATGGCCAGAGCTGGGGCATTCTGAAGCCAGGAGCCAGATCCAAGTCTCCCACATGGGTGGCAGGGGCCCAAGCACTTGGGCCATCTTACATTGCTTTCCTAGACCATTAGTAGGGAGTCGGATCAGAAGTAGAGCAGCTGGACCACGAACTAGCATCCAAATGGAATGCCAGTATGGCAGGCAGCAGCCTCACCTGCTATACCACAGCACCAGACCGCACTCATTTGACTCCTAAACCAAGTGAGAGAGATTAGGACTTGGTAACATAGCTTTAAAGGTGTTGGGAAAATAACCAAAATAACTAGATAATTTTGAAAAAGAGTATCATTTTAAAAGTGCTTACTGTCCATGCATTAAAATATTTTAAAGTTGTGTTTGGTAAAACATGGATGTAAGAATCCGTGTAGAGAACAATAGAACAGATAGGCCAGAAGTAAAACCCAGAGTTTTAACCTCTTGTGTAAGATTACTGTCATAAATTCTTTGTAAATCTGATAACAGCTGTGAGTCGGCAGCACAGGAAAATAAGCATCCAAATACCCAAATAAAATTTTGGGGGGAAAAAGGCAAGAAAGAAACTGTGAAGCTACTAGAAAGTAATAAAACACATCTAAATCAGAAAAAGGAAAAAGTGACCTATATTTACAAATAATGTGAACCCGTTTAGTAAACTCCAGAGATTCCATAAAAAGACCATTAGAACGAGAAGATGAATTCCATACAGTTGCAGGGTACATAACGAAAAGCAGTAGCCTTTCTACTCACAAATGATGACATAGCTGAAAAGAAACCAGGAAATAATCCCTTTTATGATAAAACCCAAAAACAAATTTAGAAATAAATTTACTAAACAGGTGAAAGATTTGTTCACTGAAAATTATAAAACATTGATGGAAAAAGTTGAAGACAGTACTGTGTGCATGGGCCAGAGAAATTACTGTTAAAATGTAAAATGTCCATACAACCCAAAGCAGTGTATAGCTTCCACACAAAATTACAATGACAGTCTTTGTAGTAATAGAAAAACAAATCCCCAAATTCATGACGTAACTGCAGAAATCTCTGAAAATAAAGCACAACTGAAGGGGGATAAAATGGGAGCATCACATTTCCTGATGTAAACGATGACGAAGATAACAGCAATCAAAGCAGTGTGGTGTTGGCATGAAAACAGAAACATACCGATGGGAATGGACCAGAGAGCCCCGAAATCCAAATCTTTGCGATCAAGTAACTTTTGGCCAGGGACCATGAGGACTCTGAGAGGAGGAAAAGCTCTTTAACAAATAGTGTTAGGGAAACTAGATTTCTACATGCAAAAAAATGAAGGCAGACCCTTGTCATTTATCGGAGCACGAAACTTAGACCAAAGTGGGTAAGAGACCTGAATGTAAGTCCTGAAATCATAAAACTCCTTGAGGGAAATGTAGAGGAAAAGCTCATTGACATCAGCTGTAACTGGTTTTTTTGGATATTACACTAACAGTTAAGCTGCAAAAGTCAGTAAAAGAGACTACAGTCTAGTAAAAGAGCTGCCGCACAGCAGTCAAGAAGTCAGCAAAGTGAAAAGGCAGCCGTGGTCTTAGGAAAAAATAGTTGCAAGCCATGTATCTGAAAAGGAGTCAGCATCCAAAATTCATAAAGAATTCTTATATCTTAATGGCGGAAAAATGACCTGACTTGAAGATGGCAAAGAACTTGAATAGACACTCAGATAACCACTGTGAGATACTTTGTATACCCATTTAGGAAGGCTGTTATCAAAAAGACAGGAGTTCATAAGTGCTGGCAAAAATAGGGGAAAGGGGGAAACCAAATGACAGTGGGAATCTAGATTGGTACAGCCATGGTGGAGAAAGTGTGGAGGTTCTCAAACCAGCTAGGAACATATGACCCAGCAGTCCTAGAAGAGAGAAAGTTCACACCTTGTTGGTCTACCACATTCATTGAAGCATAACTTACAGTAAGTCAAGATATAAAATGTGTCAACAAATGGCTAAAGAAAATGTATATAAGTATTCAGTGGAATAGCAGTCAGACTCAAGGAAATCCTACCATATACTGCAGCATGAATGGTACTACTAGAAAACGTGAGGTAAGCCAGGCCCAGAAAGAAAACTGCTACATGATCTCACGTGAGAGTTATCTTTTAAAATATATTCAGAGAGAAAATAAAATGCTGGGGAGACACAGGTCAAAGCTTACAAAGTAGCAGATTTGTAGAATAAGTGGTAGGGATCTAATCTAATCTATAGCATGAAAATTATACTTAGTAAAATGAGGGTGTGTGTTTTGTTTTGTTTTGTTTTGGGCTGTTGTGAATGAGATTGATCTTGGAAGCTCTTTCTCAGCCATGGCATTGTCTATGTATACAAAGGCTATTGATTTTGTGTGTTGATTTTTTTGTTTGTTTGTTAGGTAGAGTTATAGACAGTGAGAGAGGGAGAGAGAGAAAGGTCTTCCTTCCGTTGGTTCACTCCCCAAATGGCCGCCATGGCCAGCACTGTGCCGATCCAAAGCCAGGAGAGCCATGAGCCAGGTGCTTCCTCCTGGTCTCCCGTGAGGGTGCAGGAGCCCAAACACTTGAGTCATCCTCCACTGCCCTCTCGTGCCACAGCAGAGAGCTAGACTGGAAAGGAGCAGCCAGGACTAGAACCCGGCGCCCATATGGGATGCTGGCGCCACAGGCAGAGGATTAACCAAGTGAGCCATGGCACCGGCCCCAGGGATTTTTATTAAATAGATAATATTTGCTAGTGTAAAAACAATTGTGAAATAAGTTAATTTCACTGTTGTGAGCATTCTCTGCATATGTATTATGTAAACCTCATACGCAATAAAATTTATCTTAAAAATAATTCTAAGCCTAAAAACAGTGCAAGACTTATAATGGGAAAGAATGGTAGACTCAGTCCAAGAAAAATTCAAAATTTTATACATAAAAATGGCGAAAAGGAAGTTACTATTAAATATTCAGTAAAAATATGTAGTGTTCATATGCTTGATATATAACTACTTAAAAAAAGAAAATCATCAAAGAAGTAAACAAAGGACATTTTAAGTCAGAGAGAAGTCTGTATAAATGGCCAATGGCAGCGTGAAACATTTTTGTACTTTGCTTGTAATCAGACAAATGTAGACTACATAAACTGGTAAAGTAATCATTGTTTACCTCCCCATGTTAGAATTGATTTTGTTCTCTCTTGCCGCACCCCAATGCATTCTGGGATGAATGGCTTTAGGTTGGTACTTAAAACTCAAAGACAAGCTCTGAAAGTCCATTGTCCTGTTGCAAAGCAAATTTGCTGAATACATTAAGAGTTTCAAGTAATTCCATCTCTAGGGATCTTTTTTAAGATGTAATTTGAACTAAGGTATAAATGCAGTGATTTTTATGAGGGAAAATTCTTAAAAGTACATCAAGTGTCCTATAACAACTTGTTTCAATAATAACATTTTCCCATAGTGTGACAGAAAACTTTTGTGAGCATATAGAAAGTATTTTAAAGATTCAAAATATGAATGGAAGTGTCCAGAGTGTGAGTAATCTTTAAACTTTTTGATACATAAAAGGAAATCAACCATGTTTAAACTATAACATTAACTGTTAAGTGACAGCTGCATGTTCATGTATTGATAGCACAACTTGATTTTCTCGTCTAAAGTTATTACTTTGTATGACAGAACCAACTTACAAGAACAAAGGAAGAATTAGAAGCTGAGAAAAGAGACTTGATTAGAACCAATGAAAGACTATCTCAAGAACTTGAATATTTATCAGGTATGAACAAGTGCTTTAGCCTTTAAGTCCGTTGTTTCCCTTCTGTTCTGATTGTGCCAGGAATATACCCCAGTCTGTTCCTCCTTTGATGTTTTTTTGTTTCCACTTACCGTAGAGTTCAGTGTGGTGTCTCAAAGGTTTAAAGAAGTAAAAGGGCACAAATGAAAAACATCTCAAAAAAGCAGTAATTTGGACCAAAGTTTATATACAAGGATTTTTACTATGGTTATAATAAATTGGAAGCAGTTTAAATACTCAATCGTAAAGGCTGAACTCCCATTCTTCAGTTTACACAGACATCCTTGCTGTCCATAACATTTAATATAAAAACCTAAAAATGGAGCCCATATTTAAAAACAGACTGAATGGAGTTTAGGAGATAGGAATGTAAACTGTGTAAGACCAGAGTAAACTCTAGTGTGTACTGTAGCTGATATTCTTAAGTGAATGTGATTCCCGAGGTGTTAATGCTATTCTTTGTTTGCTGCTATTTCATTTTTGAAGGTTTTTGGAAATTTTTATTAATGTAAAATAAAGGAGAATTTTCAAATGTTTGTATTAACATACAATAATGTTCAGCTAACTATACTTTTTCAGGGTCATTTTGCAGTACTGGCTGATAAAAATTAAAGGACTTATTTTCATAAAAATCTAGATGTTAAGGAATATTTGAAAAGACATGTATATTCTAAGTGAAGATTTTTATCTTAACAAGTGGTTATTTGTTAAAATTTAATAGCTCTTTGGCTATGTATCAGGCAAATTAAGGTTAAATGCGGAATGTTTAGCTTAAGATACTGTATTTAAAACAAAGTAACGCATATAATTCACATGTTTGGTTAGATACACAAATTTCAGTTATTTATACTCTGGTTTCTCTTTAGATTACATAAGTCTTTCACCTTTTATTTATCTATCATCTGTTGGTTAAAATTTGTAACTGAATGTAACAGGAACAGATTAAAATAAGGGACTTGAGAATGACTTCTTTGTATTTAAAAGATTTATATTTCTGGAGATGGGTTTTTCATGTTTGGTTCCTCTGAGTGTTGTCATTTCAAATTCTCTTTTGATCTTTCTAGAGGACATTAAACGTGTAAATGAAAAACTGAAAGAAAGCAATACTACAAAGGGTGAACTTCAGTTAAAATTGGATGAGCTTCAAGCTTCTGATGTTTCTGTTAAGGCAAGTAACAGATGATTCCTAATGAATAAAGTATAATTTTTGCTTAAAACTCACCTAAATTAAATTTTAAATATAGGCAAATTGCCTGTAAAGTAATTAAAAGTTGTGGTTTTGTTTTTAATCTTACGGAGTTGAGCATTAGGACAGTGTGGTTTTTTTTTTTTTTTTTTTTTTTTTTTTGACAGGCAGAGTGGACAGTGAGAGAGAGAGACAGAGAGAAAGGTCTTCCTTTGCCGTTGGTTCACCCTCCAATGGCCGCCGCGGCCGGCGCGTTGCGGCCAGCGCACCGCGCTGATCCGATGGCAGGAGCCAGGAGCCAGGTGCTTTTCCTGGTCTCCCATGGGGTGCAGGGCCCAAGCACCTGGGCCATCCTCCACTGCACTCCCTGGCCACAGCAGAGAGCTGGCCTGGAAGAGGGGCAACCGGGACAGAATCCGGCGCCCCGACCGGGACTAGAACCCGGTGTGCCGGCGCCGCTAGGTGGAGGATTAGCCTAGTGAGCCGCGGCGCCGGCCTAGGACAGTTTTAATTTAACTTTTTTTTTTTTTTTTTAATTCAAGTCTGTTGTAGTTCTTTATGATACATATTTCTGTTTTAAAATTAAAAATATGCTTCTGTCCCTTACCTACAATCTTAAAAAACATACTCATTTTTATTTGCAAGAAGCAAGCTTCCATCTCTCTGCTGCTTCATTTTCCAAATGCCACAGTAGCCAATGCTAGGCACTGCCAAAACCGTAAATGTAGTCCAGGTCTTCCACATGTATGGCAGGTACCAATTTCTTGAGCCATCACTACAGCCTCCCATGTCTGCATTAGTAGGAAGCTGGCAACAGAGACCAGAGTCAGACTCACACTCTGATGGGAAATACACACATCTTAACTGCTAGGCTAAATGCCCACCCCTCCAGACAATTTTTGAATAACTGTATGCTATCTTCATAACACTTTCTTGGATTTCTTTAGTATCGGGAAAAGCGCTTGGAGCAAGAAAAGGAATTGCTACATAATCAGAATACATGGCTAAATACAGAGTTGAAAACCAAAACTGATGAACTTCTGGCTCTTGGAAGAGAAAAAGGAAATGAGATTCTAGAGCTTAAGTGTAATCTTGAAAATAAAAAAGAGGAGGTAAATTTAATAAAATAGAGTCTGTCTTAATGTTGAATATAACTTGGGTTTGTTTTTTAGTTTTGTGTTCAGTGGTGTTTTTTAGATGTGTATTCAGTGGTGGTAAAATCAGTGGTTGAAATGGAAGATAGAACTGATTAAATTTGTTGTAAGGGAGCTACATTGCTTTATATAAAGAATTCTAAGGTCATCTTTTGATGACTCCTGACACAGTCTACTATAGTGTATCTATCCTAAGTTAGCATCTCTAAGAAATACTGAGTGTTTAAAAGCTAAATCTAAACACGATGTTCCATGAGCTATTTTCATTTTCTTAAATATGTAGATTTTTTGTAAATTACTTTTTGGGGTAGGAAGATTATTTTGTGTTTTCTTAACAGTGTAAACTTTGTATCAGATTAATGTCAGTCGATATGATAACCACTCCACCTCCACCCCCTTTTTGTTTCTAGGTTTCCAGGCTGGAAGAACAGATGAATGGCTTGAAAACATCAAATGAGCATCTCCAAAAGCATGTGGAAGATCTGTTGACCAAATCGAAAGAGGTACAGATGAGTGTTTTGTGATTTATTCATGTTACTGAAGTGTTAATGCACTTAGGACACTATTAGTTCACAAAATCATGCTGTGTTATAATCTAGCCCTAGAACTACATAGCTACCAGAAGTCTTCTATATGTTGTAGTTTGGCTAAAATCATATATATGTGTATGTGTGTGTGTATAATTAACTGCTAAACTTTAAGATAAAAATATCAGTAACATTTTATAGTAATTCATTTTCATCATGAAAACTGATTTTTATTTTAGTCATTCTCTTCACAAAAAATGAATTTTTTGAATCTTGACATTAGGTAACAATGCAAAATTCAGTTCAAACTAGACTACTAAATTGGGTTTCTTTCTGTTTTGTTTTTTGGTGGTGGTTTTTTCCAGGCCAAGGAACAACAGGCCAGCATGGAAGAGAAATTCCACAATGAATTAAATGCTCACATAAAACTCTCTAACCTATACAAGGTAAATATCTTACCACATATGTTGGAATCCTAATGTTACATTAATGGCTGTCAGCTAACTTTTTCACATTAATGTTTAGAGTGCTGCTGATGACTCAGAAGCAAAGAGCAATGAACTAACCCGTGCGGTAGATGAACTGCACAAACTTTTGAAAGAAGCGGGAGAAGGTGAGTGTTTTTTTTACAGGAAGACTGTTTTGGTTGTAAATAGAGGTTAATATCTTCTTGGGGCCGGTGCTGTGGTGCAGCAAGTTAAACCTCTGCCTGCAAAGACAGCATCTCATATGAGTGCCTGTTAGAGTCTTAGCTGCTGCACTTCCAGTCTCGTTCCCTGCTAATGGCCTAGGAAAGCAGCAGCAGATGACACAAAAGCTTGGGCCTCTGCCACCCACGTGGCAGACCTGGATCTGGCTCCTGACTCTTAGCTATGGCCTGGTCCAGCCCCAGTCATTGCAGTCATATGGGAAGTGAAAAAGTGGATGGAAGATCTCGCACTCCTTTTCTAACTCTACCATTCAAATAAATACACGAACCTTAAGGGGAAAAAATATAATTTTTGATTCCCTTTGGACAGATTGTTGGATTTAGAAGTTTAATTTTATGAGGGACAAAATTTGGAATAAAGATCCCTTGGATTAAGGAACTGAGAATTGTACTTTAATCAGACATCATATTTTAAGATATAAGTAACAGTTTTCCTACTTATTTCACCCAATAGCTATAATTTCCTGATTTCTAATGATAAAAATTCCATTTTTAATACATTTATTTTGCAGAGTACATGCAAATTTATAATTGTGTACTGTCAGCTCCATAAATAAGCCACCCTTTCTAAGTTGTCACTAGAATATTGTGAAGTCTTTTTCTGAAATCTTCCTCTGCTTTAGTGTAGTAGATTTACAGTTGTCCCATAATGCCCACAGGGAATTCATTGGTTCCAGGGACCCTGAAGGATATTGAAACTTGAGGATACTCAAATCCCTTATGTAAATTGGCATAGTGTTTACATATAAGTTATACACATTGTCCCATATACTGTAAATCATCTCTATAGATTAATTTAACACAGTGTAAATGCTATGTAAGTAGTTGTTGAACTGTTTGGTTTAGGAAATGATAACAAAGTCTGTGCATGTTCTGTACAAACCCAACTTTTTTGTCTGAATATTTTCTGTCCAGTTGATTGAATACACAAATGCAGAACCCATGGATGTGGACAGCCAATAGTATTTTTTTGTTTTAAAGATTTATTTATTTATTTGAGAGGCAAAGAGAAAGAGAAATCTTCCATCCGCTGGTTCACTCACCAGACGGCCACAATGACCAGACGTGTGCCGATCCTAAGCCAGGAGCTGGGAGCTTCTGGGTCTCCCACACAATGGGTGCAGGGGCCCAAGGACTTTGCCATCCTCTACTGCCATCCCAGGCCACAGCAGAGAGCTGGATCGGAAGTGGAGCAGCTGGGACTTGAACCAGTGGCATATGGGATGCCAGCACTGCAGGCAGCAGCTTTACCCACTATGCCTCGGTGCCGACCCCACCAGTATTTTTAGTCTTATACAGACTAAATCAAGGTTGAAATCAAAGGTGTGCTTAGAGCCACTTTTTTACCATTTGAGTTTCCTTATTTATATGGTAGATAAGAGATACCAAAAAGAAAAACTCAACAGAAAATACTCACCAGGCCAGCACATTTCAAAAATTACTAGTGAAGGAAGAGCTCTCAGTAGAAAACAACTCTCAGGTGCAGCATCTCTGGAAATCAGTTTTGTCTGTGAGCAAGAGAAAAAGGCCATTCTGCTAGGATTTATAAACTGCAGTGTAGTAACTGGATATTCTGTCTTTAATAATATTTTAGCCAACAAAGCAATACAAGATCATCTTCTAGAGGTGGAGGAATCTAAAGATCAAATGGAAAAAGAACTGCTTGAGAAAATAGGGAAATTGGAGAAGGAACTGGAAAATGCAAATGACCTCCTGTCTGCCACAAAACGTAAAGGTATGACTGACAGTTGATTTTTAATATCTTGAAATACTAGAAATTCCTTGTATTTTAGACATTTTGTTTCACAATATTTATCATGCTGTGATAGGAAACTCCATTAAGTTATAGCATACGAATTTATTCTTACAGAAGCTTCAGCTATAAATACCTTTAGCATGGAGTTTAGAAAACTGTAATAGTTTTATTTGTATGTATTCACACAGGAGCTATACTGTCTGAAGAAGAGCTTGCAGCCATGTCTCCTACTGCAGCAGCCGTAGCTAAGATAGTGAAACCTGGCATGAAATTAACTGAGGTAAAAATCATATTAGAGCTTATTAGAAAAGTACTCAAATCTCTCTGAAACATAATTTCTCCCCCAAAATGACATTTAAAATAATCTGGTGATGGATTGATTATTCTGGGAAGGGCTTTTGTTCATTCCTAATTCTGTATAACATGTAGCAAGCATTTCCCCTCCTGTGTAAATGCTAAAGAATATTAAGAAATTCAGTAAACTACAGACTTCTGTTAGGTTTCAGATTGAAATGACCCCTCTTCTACTTTCAGCTGTATAATGCTTACGTGGAAGCTCAAGATCAGTTGCTTTTGGAGAAACTAGAAAACAAAAGAATTAATAAGTATCTAGATGAAATAGTGAAGGAAGTTGAAGCTAAAGCACCAATTTTGAAACGCCAGCGTGAGGAGTATGAACGTGCACAGAAGGCTGTGGCAAGTTTATCTGTTAAGCTTGAACAAGCTATGAAGGTTGGTTCCATTCCTTGATTTCAGCTATGAGGAAGACACAAATAAAAGATCATTCATTGGGTAGTTCTTAAGGTGTTTGAGTCAGATAAGGCTAAATCGCTCTCAGTGATTATTAATTACTAATTAGTAATTACAGTTTGATACTTCCCATTACATTCAACATTTAATCACAGAATGTTCTGCCTTTGTTCAGCTAAGATTGTGACAGCCTTTTGCATTTCCTTAAGCGCTTGGTATGTTTTCTTCAGGAACCTGTGGTAGAGGATAATAGCCAAATCTTCTCTTCAAATCTCAGTAATAGAACTCTCCTCGCTTTATTTAGTATTATTCTTGGACAGACAGTTGTGATTATCTGTCTAAAATGATGTTTTCTGACACAGGTAAAGAGTTGGTTTTTTAAACCATTTTACAATTTCGCATATCCAATAGACATTATTTTGTTACTGCTCCTTTATGTATTGAAGGTATCAGGGAAATTTGGGAATATTGTTTTTCTTTGAAAATTGTTTTTTAATAGTGATTAAATAGTGTTTATACCTAAATATTTTGCTTTTAGGGTACAACTATTAATATATTTAGAAAACCTTTCGCCTGCACCGCGGCTCACTAGGCTAATCCTCCACCTGCGGCGCTGGCACACCAGGTTCTAGTCCCAGTTGGAGCGCCAGATTCTGTCCCAGTCGCTCCTCTTCCAGTCCAGCTCTCTGCTATGGCCTGGGAGTGCAGTGGAGGATGGCCCAAGTGCTTGGGCCCTGCACCCGCATGGGAGACCAGGAGAAGCGCCTGGCTCCTAGCTTCGGATCAGCGTGGTGTGCCAGCCGCAGTGCGCTGCCCGCAGCGGCCATTGTGGGGTGAACCATTCTCTCTGTTTCTCTCTCACTGTCTGTAACTCTCTCTCTCACTGTCTACCTCTGTTTGGTAAAAAAAAAAAAAAAAAAAAAGAATAGAAAACCTTTCAAAGTTTATCAAACAAATTTTCTTGAAGAAATTTAACTATGAATTGGTATCCACTATTCTTTTTTTTTTTTTTTTTTTTTTTTTTGGACAGGCAGAGTGGATAGTGAGAGAGACAGACATAGAGAAAGGTCTTCCTTTTGCCGTTGGTTCACCCTCCAATGGCCGCCATGGCTGGTGCGCTGCAGCCGGCGCAACGCGCTGATCCAAAGGCAGGAGCCAGGTGCTTCTCCTGGTCTCCATGGGGTGCAGGGCCCAAGCACTTGGGCCATCCTCCACTGCCTTCCCGGGCCATAGCAGAGGGCTGGCCTGGAAGATGGGCAACCAGGACAGAATCCGGCGCCCCGACCAGGACTAGAACCCGGTGTGCCGGTGCCGCTAGGTGGAGGATTAGCCTATTGAGCCGCGGCGCTGGCCGATATCCACTATTCTAAAATGATAAGTTTCTTTGTCTTTTGGGATAAGAATCTAAATAAATTATGTCCGAAATTCAAAATTAAATCTCTGCTGATAGTGCAATTTAATTGAAATACACAGATACTGTAGCTAATGACTTCCTCCCCTGAATCAGCCTGCAGCCCAGATGGTTTGCTGAGCTGTCCAATCTTCAGAGTCTCACTATATAGAGAGAGAGTGAGTTTGTCCTGGAGTTTGGGTTTTCTGAAGCAGAATAGTGAGTTGGGTGCCTCAAGTTAGGTAACGGCAACCATTCTTTAGTGTACAGTAACAGTAATAAAAATTCTAACTACTAAAGAATTCAGACATAATTCTGCATCTTAGAGCTGAATTTTCTGCCCATTACACTTCATGCTGTCTTCCAGTCTAGATTCTATAATGTTAATTTGTAAAGTTCTAACAGTTTTATAACCAGATTGCTTTGTCATCGGAATCTTGTTTTAACCCCAGCAGAGTTGTATCATTGCCATCTTTCATGAATGGTTACCTACTTGATTTCTGTCACATATCTGTTCTTACTAAAATCAGTTTATGCATACCTGTAGAGTGTTCATTGTGCTCAGAGGTACTTGAAACACCAGCAGCAATACTTTGAATAATATTTAAAACATTATCATTGAAAATACATTAAGAAATAAAATTGGATGAATTTGATACAAAGATGTAAGATTTCAAAGTTTTAATTCTTTGTGTATGTAGCAGGCTCTGTAAAACTGTACACCTGTAGTGTGGTGTAGCACAACTTTGCAAAACACTGCATAGCCTCTGTCACCATTTAGCAGCCTTGTACATTGACTGTTACTTCTTTAGCATTAATTACTGATGCATTTTTAAGTAAGTCTTTTTTGAATCTTAAAATATTTTACTTTTGATGTTTATTTCCATGTTGTCATTGTAATAATAGTTATCTCAATGTAGTCCTTTGATTTTGTCTTATAACAGCTTTTAAGAGAATTTGTATGACATTGTTTGGTAATACACTGGATTCGGTGTGGCTTCTAAGATTGTAGTTGACAGTGAATCTGATGGAGGATTGCAACCTCCCCGTTATCATGTAGTGATAAATTTATAATGATCAGTATTCACAATAATAAATAATATGTTCATATTTGTAAAGAATTTTTACTTTAGATACCACAGTGTTTTTAGTTTATAACTTGATTACTGTAGTTTTGAGTGTGACGTATCTGTTATCTATGTAAGTCCTAGAAGAAAGTACAGAATTGACACTTGACATTACGTTTTATAGGAGATTCAACGATTGCAGGAGGATACTGATAAGGCCAATAAACATTCATCTGTACTTGAAAGAGACAATCAAAGAATGGAAATACAAGTAAAAGATCTTTCACAGCAGGTTAGACATTTTTGTTTCTTTTCCTGTTTTTTTTTTTTTATTTGGTTGCCCAGTAACATTTCAGTCCCTTTTAAGGTAGCCAAAACAGAACTACAACCACATAAGAAATTCTAATCAATTAGAAATACTACTCTGGTAGAGTTATAGCCTAGTCATTGATTTGGTTTGATTTTGTTTCGTTTTCTAGCAGTTTTTTTGAAGTATTTGATGAATTTTCAAATTTTAGGTATACATTGGGATAAGAGAACAAGCAGTTCAATGATAAATAAAAGTTGTGTTAAGTTCCTTCTCTCTAGCCCCCAAATCTTAGAGGGTAACCAGTATTAAGAGACTTGTATATTCTTTCTCTTCCTCTTTACATCTACAAACACATGTGACATATGTAAACATATGTTGATTTTTTTTTCCAGAAATAACAATCATGTGATGTAAACTACCCTGCCACTTGTTTTATTTTCAGATGAGCACATCAGTAAATAGATCTCATCCTCAGGTTTTACTCAGTTTTTTGTGTATGTGTATATTCAGTACACATACATAAAAATGTCCCACGAGTGGCATTATGTGCACGCTTTTGTTTGCAGCTATATCCTCCTGGTCTCCCTTTGCCATTCATTATAGTACACACATAAATTGCACTGTGTATCTGTGAAGCTTACTTAATCATTGTTTTACAGATGGGGAACTGTGTTTCTTTTGTTGTAATTTGGGTGCGTTTTAATAGATAACTGCCTTCAATATGTACGTAAAAATAACCTAAGTATTTCCAGAATCAAACCCTGATATTATTAGTAACATATTATACTTTGTTTTTAGATTAGAGTGCTTCTGATGGAACTTGAAGAAGCAAGGGGCAACCATGTGATCCGTGATGAGGAAGTGAGTTCTGCTGACATAAGCAGTTCATCAGAAGTGATATCACAGCACCTGGTGTCCTACAGAAACATTGAAGAGCTCCAGCAGCAAAACCAGCGGCTCTTAGTGGCTCTTAGGGAACTTGGGGAAACCAGAGAAAGAGAAGAACAAGAAACTACGTCATCCAAGTGAGCCACTGTCTACTTCAGTTTCCTAACAGACTTCTATTGAAGCTTCTTATGTGCCCCCAGAAGTACCTTCAGCAATAACAGTGATTTGGGAGGGAAGGGGGAGATTGAGCAGCAATACAAAAATGATAATTTTGTTCATAGGACCCTCAATTTATGAGATATAAAAGATAGGGGTAATAGGCAATAAAATGGATGCATAAGTAGATAATTTTTTCTGTGGGAACATTGAGGTAGAGGACACAACCTAAATTTCAAAGAACAGACCAGGTATCTTGGAGAGAATAGGTAGCAATTAAGCAGAATGAAGAGTTTTTCGAAAAATTTGTATGATGCTAGAGTTGGAGAAATACTGTGAAAGCAAGAAAGAGCTCAGTGGAATTGGTACAATTTTTGCAAACACATTTTTGAGATTACAGCGATGAATCTGTGAGTTTTGGGAATTACAGAGTGCTTAAAATATTAGCAGTAGGAGACAAAAGGAGGCGTGAATTGACAGAAATAGTGTGCTGGGGGGTAGACGTTGCTGAGGTAATTCATGGTAGAAATCACGCATCCTCTCAGTGCAGTCTTGCAGCTGAACGATGGCTGTTTTCCCACAGGATCACTGAGCTTCAGCTCAGACTTGAGAGCTCCCTCACGGAGCTGGAGCAGCTCCGCGAGTCGCGACAGCATCAGATGCAGCTGGTCGATTCCATAGTTCGTCAGCGAGACATGTACCGTATTTTATTGTCGCAGACAACAGGAGTTGTCATTCCTTTACAAGGTGGGTTTTCTATGTTGTTTTAAGGGGGCATTTCAGAAACATATTTTAGGGAATGGGTTTTGCAATATAAGCAATAAGTAAGCACACTGATGCTGGAAGCTTCAGATTTCACTGCCTCCCATTATTCATTCGAACATGTCTCCAGTTCTGAGCACCATTATTTTGTATATTACTAAGGAAGAACAAAAGCTGACTTTAGAAAAATGTACATCTTGGAATTAATGAGTTCCAGTGTTTGATTACATTTAAACATTTAATCTGTTATTTCTAATCATAAATCAAAAACAATATATTGCTTAATAGGCTTTGCTTCAAAACTTCTCTAACCTTACGATTTCTTTTAGTAGAGCCTGTTAACTTGGTAATAGTGTGTTTACAAGGGAATATCAGATTACTGCTGACTCAGGAGTGCCTGCAAGCATTTGATGAGTCTTTTTACTTTCCCAAAGCTTCCAGTTTGGAAGATATTTCTCTCATGTCCACTCCGAAACGGTCAAGCACCTCACAGACTGTTTCTACTCCTGCTCCTGGGCCTGTTATTGAATCAACAGAGGCTATAGAAGCCAAGGCTGCTCTCAAACAGGTAAGATCATATCTGTTAGGGATCACAGATTGGATTGAGTTTTTAGAGAAAAGTGTCCTCTAATCTCTAATATTTAGTTGCAGGAAATTTTTGAGAACTACAAAAAAGAAAAAGCAGATAATGAGAAAGTACAAAATGAACAACTTGAGAAACTTCAAGAACAAGTTACAGATTTGCGATCACAAAACACCAAAATTTCTACCCAGCTAGATTTTGCTTCTAAACGGTAAATTTCCTTTTGTTGAAAAATTAGTAAGGCCCAAGTGTTACATATATCTGTATATATCAGCATTCAAATCAGTCAAATCCAAGGATTAACATTCAGTGGTGTGATTTCGAGGGTTGTGTTCCAGGCTGAGTTTCAGTGTTGTTTAATGATTCTCCTACGCAGTGCTGAGGTGCTTTTTAGTGGGTTGAAGTCCATGTGAGAGATGTTCCTGGCTTTCCTTCTTGAGACATAGAGACTTGTTACAGTTGGACTTCATTCTTTGGTGCCCCAGAGGATGAGAGAGAAGTAGCAACATCTTTTATCCATTCTTTGTTCTAGGTGAGAGAGATGCCAAGTGCCAGTAATTATAGGAAAATTTAGTTTCTCAGTCATTTTACTATGGTTTACTGTGGTTGTCTGCTACAAGATTCATTGTTAATTTAGCATTTATTTTTTTATGGAACATGATAAATTTGTTTTTTGTAAGGAAATAGCAGTTACCCCTGTCTAATAGTTGAACACTTGAATTGGAGCATCCAAGAAAACAAGATAAAGGATTAAGGAGGGGAAGAGGTTTAGCAATCTCAAACTATACATGAGTATCTTAAATTATAACCTGCATTATGTGTGTGTTCGAGGAGGCGTGCTGTGATGTGATCTCTCAATATTGTATTGGTACTTCTTTAAATATGATTAAAAAATGAATAAGATTAAAAATTATTGTGAACTACATGTTTCTTTAGAACTTGAATTTAACTGCTAAATTTGGGGGGGAGGGGTGAAGGATTTAGGTTATGATAGAGGCCAGTTTTTCATATTATTAAATAATGTAAAATTAAGCTGTTACAAAATTCTTTAGTAACCTGGACACTATATATAGTATTTCAGTTGTTTATTGAATTCTCTTTCTTTTATGTAAGTTATGAAATGCTACAAGATAATGTTGAAGGATATCGTCGAGAAATAACATCCCTCCATGAGAGAAATCAAAAACTCACTGCAACAACTCAAAAGCAGGAGCAGATCATCAATACGATGACTCAAGACTTGAGAGGAGCAAATGAAAAGCTCGCTGTTGCAGAAGTGAGATCAGTATTCCTCCTGCATTATAAATTGCAGTTTACATTTTAATTATTACTTTGAGATTACTGATTGATATGACTTAGATATTTGAGAGCTTTGTCTTTGATTACATAGTTTGCATATAGCTAGCTAGCTATTCATTAATGGGTGGGTCTTCAATTCTCTTAAGATTGAAGAGTGGTAGCAGTGTTGTGGTGCAACAGGTTAAGCAACACCATAATCCCGTATCAGAGCACACATTGGAGTCTGAGCTGCTCTGCTTCCAGTCCAGCTCTGCTGGGCTTCCTGGGAAGACAGCAGAAGGTGGCCCAAGTACTTGGGCCCCTGTAACCACAGGAGTTTGAGGCTCCTGGCTTTGGCCTGTCATACCCTTGACTGCGTGACCGTTTGTTTGACAGTGATTTAGCAGATGGCAAATCTCTATCTCCCCCTCTCTGACGTTCTACCTTTCAAATAAATAAATAAATTTCATGGGAAAATGGAATTGAAATATAAGCTTAAATTTGAACACAATTTTAAAAAAACAATTGAAGAGGGAAAAAATAATAAGATTTCTTTACAAGGCTTCCATTTCAGAATTAAACTGAAACCATTGGGCTGTAATATCAACTGGTACTTATCCATTTTTGCCCATGTCCAATAAGAGAATATTCACATTAGCTTAAATTAGATTTCTGAATTTTAATTTGAATGTAAATGTCTATCTGAAATTAACAATGCTTTGAATTAAATACTAAATTCAGTGATGATAAACTTTTTATATAGTGTTTTACTTTTTTAAAAAGTTCCCCTCTCATTTTTTTTTACTGCTTTTGAGCTCAGTGTGATTGTTCCACATTTAATGTGTGAGAAATCGACTTAAATTAATAAGTAATCTGCCCATTTTCAATCACTCAAAAGAGATGAATAGGTTGGTTCTTGAACCCAAGTTTTGTTTTGTTTTGTTTTGTTTTGTTTTGTTTTTTTACCAAACAGAGGTAGACAGTGAGAGAGAGAGTTACAGACAGTGAGAGAGAAACAGAGAGAAAGGTCTTCCTTCCATTGGTTCACTCCCCGCAAATGGCCACCACAGCCGGCACTGTGCCGATCACGAAGCCAGGAGCCAGGTGCTTCCTCCTGGTCTCCCATGGGGTGCAGGGCCCAAGCACTTGGGCCATCCTCCACTGCACTCCCAGGCCACAGCAGAGAGCTGGACTGGAAGAGGAGCAACCGGGACAGAATCCAGCACACCGACCGGGACTAGAACCTGGGGTGCCGACGCCATAGGTGGAGGATTAGCCTAGTGAGCCGCGGTGCTAGATTTGAACCCGAGTTTTCTAACTCTACCTGCTCTGTTTTACCATTAGATCTTGTTCCCACTCATCATAAGCCATAAATATCAAGCATGAGTGTTCTGGTTAGTAATTGATGTGATACATCAACTGTAAATTTGAATCCTTTGTTGAATTACACCCTCCATTGGGAAGTTGAAGGAGGGAGGCACTTTAAAAAAATCAGTCACCATTTTTAGTCAGGTACTTAGAAACCAATTTGGACACAAACTTGAATTGTTTAATAGTGTGCATGTGTGGCTGTAGGTGTGGCTGTAGCATAGGTTTGCAATTTTGGTTTTTTACTGTCATTGTAGTGGGGTTTTTGTTTTGTTTTGTTTTTTGCTGTTCTTGTTAACGTGGAACATGAGTAATTGTGGTGGTTGAAATAATTTTCCTTCATATTTCAGCACACAAAACTAACAGCTATATTTACTTACAACAAAGAAATAGTCTCCAAGTAGCATTAAGGAAAAATGTAGTAATAATGGTATCATTTTAATTTGTAACTATATTACTAAACTTGGCACCATGTCATCCAGCATTCTTTTCTTTCACTTGTATATGCCTCAAGGTAAGAGCAGAAAATTTGAAGAAGGAAAAGGAAATGCTTAAATTATCAGAAGTTCGTCTTTCCCAGCAAAGAGAGTCTCTGTTAGCTGAACAAAGAGGGCAAAACCTGCTGCTAACTAATCTGCAGACAATTCAGGTAACCAAATAAAAATCGTGTGGGGGAAAAAATTGATAAAAGTTGAATTTGGGTAGTTTGTTCCTTTTGTTTTCTCAGTTTTTTTACTTTGAAAAGTGTTTTTGTCACTTTTATCATCCATTATGATCAGTGAGTTTGGGAGCTTTTTAAGACATTTTAATGGTTTTTTTAAAAAACCTGTTAAGTGGGGCCGGCAAGTGGGGCCGGCACTGTGGTGTAGCAGATAAAGCTGCCACCTGCATTACCGACATCCCATATGGGCGTTCACTCGAGTCTTGGCTGCTCCACTTCCATCCAGCTCTCTGCTATGGCCTGGGAAAGCAGCAGAAGATGCCCAAGTCCTTGGACCCTGCACCCACATGGGAGACCCAGAAGCAGCTCCTGGCTCCTCTCCCTCTCCCCCTCCCTGCCTCCTTCTCCTTCTCCTTCTCTCTCTGTGTAACTCTGACTTTCAAATAAATCTTTTTACAAAAAAAAAAAAAACCTGTAAGTGAATGGATTGAGAGACCAGCCCTGTGGTCTAGAGGGTAGAGCTACTACCTGTGACGTTGGTATCCCATGTTAGCACTGGTCCACTTTCCACCCAGCTCCCTGTTAATGGCCTGAGAAAAGCAATGTAAGATAGTCCAAATGCTAGGGTTCCTGTCACAAATGTGGGAGACCTAGAAAAAGTTCCTGGCTCCAGGCTTTGGCCTGGTCCTGGCCCTGACCATTGCAGCCTTCTGGAGAATGAACCAGTGGAATGAAGATGTCTCTATGTTTGACTTTAAAATAAATAACTGTTAAAAAAAGAGAGAGAGAGAGAATGGATTGAAATCATGGAATTGGCAAGTTTGATATTCAGATCTATAATTACAAGATCCTATGCAGCTTAACTTTTTCCAGATTAATATTTTGGGTTTTGTTTTTCATTAAAACTTGAAAATCTGAATGAGTATTAAAACTTGTTTTTTTTCCCTGTTATATAAATATTTTCTTGATTAATACTTTATACTGTTCATGTAGAAAAATGGATTATGGGCCAGTGCCATGGCTTACTTGGTTAATCCTCCGCCTGTGGCACCAGCATCCCATAGGGGCGCCGGGTTCTAGTCCCGGTTCCTCCTCTTCCAGTCCAGCTCTCTGCTATGGCCTGGGAGGACAGTGGAGGATGGCCCAAGGTTTGGGCCCTGCACTTACATGGGAGACCAGAAAGAAGCAGCTGGCTGCTCCTGACTTCGGATCAGCACAGCGCTGGCCGTAGTAGCCATTTGGGGGTTGAACCAACAGAAGGAAGACCTTTCTCTCTGTCTCTCTCTCTCACTGTCTAACACTATCTGTCAAATAAATTAAAAAAAAAAAAAAGGAAAGAAAAATGGATTATTATCCCCTAAATCCCTACAGCTTATAATTATCTTTGTATTGCTTCTTTTACTTTGTTGGTAAACTTAACTAAACTCTCTCTTTTACCGTAGGGAATACTAGAGCGATCTGAAACAGAAACCAAACAAAGACTTAGTAACCAGATTGAAAAACTCGAACATGAGATCTCTCATCTAAAGAAGAAGTTAGAAAATGAGGTGGAACAAAGGCATACACTCACTAGGAATCTAGATGTGAGTCCATAACCATCGTGAGTTTCTGTAGCTTCTTCATGTTTCATAATAAACCTGGAGTGTGGACATATATGCAAGTTGAAGCATGGTTTTGAAAAAAATTACTTAAAAACTCTGTTACCCTTTATTCTTTGTTTGCAGCTAAATTTTGTTTGGGTGCCATATATTGTGAGTTTTGCCCCGTTAGGTGCTGGGTAATTTTGTATTCCTTTGAATCTGCTTAAGCTGTGTTCTAGGATTTTAATAAAGTTAATTAGACATAGTTTGAGTCCTACTTTTGGTGATGTATTAGGCAGGCCCAGAGCAGTGCTTAGCCTAGGACGTGTTTCCCACTGCTGAGGCAAGACCTTCATGAGGACTGGGCCCAGTGTCCAGTGGATTGTGATTTCTTCCAGGCGGGCTGCTGAAACAGAAGTTATTCTGAGTGCCAGCACCCTTCACTCTAGTCACTCTGGGTGATTCTTTCCCCTGCCTGGAGTCATTTTCTCACGTGTGTGCACAGATCACTCCTAATGTTCAAGGGGCACAGTGCAGAGTGTTCTGTCTTTGCCAAGTCTTCTATGAACTCGAGCTGCTGTAGTCCCTGTGTTACTGATGCAAGGAGTTGGCAGGCCTGTGCCTCATTTCCCTTTCCTTGTGTCATAACGTGGGAATTTGTAAGTCCGTACATCTGGAGCAATCCCAGAGATCACCTCTTTTGTTTCCCTTCTCTGGAATTGGAGTTGTTTAATGTCTGTTCTGCTTTCTTGGTTGCTTTGGGAGAGGAGCAGAAGTCCATTCACTTGACTCTGAGCGAGTTCTGGGGGTCTGTAAAAAAACCTCTGGTTTCTTACGAACCTGAAAAAGGTTTTATAGGGATAATGTATTTTTTTCTTACAGGTTCAACTTTTAGATACAAAGAGACAGTTGGATACTGAGATAAATCTTCACCTGAACACAAAAGAGCTATTAAAAAATGCTCAGAAGGAAATTGCTACATTGAAACAGCACCTCAGTAACGTGGAAGTCCAGCTTGCTTCTCAGTCCTCACAGAGAACTGGTAAAGGTAGAAATGAGTGGAGCTTGAAATACTAAGTAAACGAAACATTGCTTCAATTCTGTAATGTATGCTGTAAATAAATAGCCTTATTCGTTGTGGATGCCAGTAACAGAGTTTTTACTGTTTATATATCAAAGATTAATTTTGTTTTAAATGAACAGATTTGTAGTCTTCTAACATCCAAAATAGTTCTCATGATACCAAAGAAGGGATGTTCTGAGTTTTTCATTTCTTGAACCATTTATGAGGCTTTCAAAATTGTTCACTTTACATAAAGCTAAGGGGTTTGGGGTTTTCACCCTTTCCTTTTAGAGAGAAAATTTTTTAAATCTATAATGATAGTGTTCACTTAAGGAAATAATTGTTTGGTGTTTTTTGTTTGTTTGTTTGTTTGACAGGCAGAGTGGATAGTGAGAGAGACAAAGGTCTTACTTTGCCATTGGTTTACCCTCCAATGGCCACTGCGGCCTGCGCACTGCGCTGATCCGATGGCAGGAGCCAGGTACTTATCCTGGTCTCCCATGGGGTGTAGGGCCCAAGCACCTGGGCCATCCTCCACTGCATTCCCATGCCATGGCAGAGAGCTGGCCTGGAAGGGGGGCAACCGGGACAGAATCTGGCGCCCCGACCGGGACTAAACCCGGTGTGCCGGTGCCGCAAGGTAGAGGATTAGCCTAGTGAGCCGCAGCGCGGGCCAATAATTTAGTTTTATGTAAAGCAGTATTCGTAATCTGTACTTGTTGATAACCTTAGGTAAAATATTTGTTGCATCAGATTTTCTCTCCTTTTTATTATACTATTTCAAATTCAGAATGTATCCAGATAATCTTTCATACAAGGTTTTATTTCTTAATGGAATGGAAAAAAAGTTTGGATTTAAGTGTGTGTATAGCTGTAGATTTCTAATACATGTAATAGATATGTAATTACTCAATAGTCCTTTCTTATTAACTTATGATATAAAAACTTTTCAACCTCAACTTTCTTCCTTTTCTATACATTTTTAATAACAAAATTTAGGTTGAATTTTTTAGACTTTGTATTTTAGAGTGATGTTTAAACAGTAAATCAAGAATCTAGTTAGTTCTTCAAATAACAACCTCAATTTAGGAGAAATGCTTGATATTCTCTAAATATACTTTTCAAATAGTTGAAATTTTTTGTAATAGTAACATAATAGCAAAGTACCTAATAGTTTTTGTTTTGGTATTCAGTATGGATTGAAATGTACTTTTTTAAAGATTTTATTCATTTATTTGAGAGGTAGAGTTAAAGACAGTGAGGGGTAGAGGAGATAGAGAGGTCTTCCATCTGCTGGGTTCACTCCCCAAATGGCCACAATGGCCAGAGCTGCGCTGATCCAAACAAAGCCGGGAGCCAGGAGCTTCTGCGGGGTCTCCCACACAGGTGCAGGGGCCCAAGCACTTGAGCCATCCTCCACTGCTTTCCCAGGCCACAACAGAGAGCTGGGTTGAAAGAAGACAGCTGTGGCCAGTGCCACAGCTCACTAGGATTAGTCCTTCGCCTGCAGCACTGGCACCACGGGTTCTAGTCCCGGTCAGGGCACTGGATTCTGTCCTGGTTGCTCCTCTTCCATTCCAGCTCTCTGCTGTGGCCCAGGAAGGCAGTGGAGGATGGCCCAAGTCTTTGGGCCCCTGCACCCGCATGGGAGACAAGGAGGAAGCACCTGGCTCCTAGCTTCATGATCGGCGTAGCGCACCAGCAGTAGTGGCCATTTGGAGGGTGAACCAATGGAAGGAAGACCTTTCTCTCTCTCTCTCTCTCTCTCACTGTCTAACTTTGCTTGTTAAAAAAACAAAAGCAGGGCCGGCGCCGTGGCTCAATAGGCTAATCCTCCACCTTGCGGCGCCGGCACACCGGGTTCTAGTCCCGGTCGGGGCGCCGGATTCTGTCCCGGTTGCCCCTCTTCCAGGCCAGCCCTCTGCTATGGCCAGGGAGTGCAGTGGAGGATGGCCCAGGTGCTTGGGCCCTGCACCCCATGGGAGACCAGGAAAAGCACCTGGATCCTGGCTCCTGCCATCGGATCAGCGCGGTGCGCCGGCTGCAGCAGCGGCCATTGGAGGGTGAACCAACGGCAAAGGAAGACCTTTCTCTCTCTGTCTCTCTCTCTCACTGTCCACTCTGCCTATCAAAAAAATAAATAAATAAATAAATAAATAAATAAATAAATAAAAAATATATTTAAAAAAAAAAAAAACAAAAGCAGCAGTGACTCGAACCAGCGCCCATATGGGATGCCAGTGCCACACGCGGAGGATTAACCTACTGTGCCATAGCGCCCACCCAGAAATGTACTTTATAGATAATTCAGTACTTCTGTATTTGAGCTTTAATTCTAATTGCACAAGTGTTTGGAGAACAGTTACCTGTAATACTATTTATTGTATCTTCTAGGTCAGTCTAGTGACAAAGAAGATGTAGACGATCTTCTAAGTCAGCTTAGGCAGGCAGAAGAGCAATTGAATGACTTGAAGGAGAGACTCAAAACAAGTGCAAGTAATGTGGAACAGTATCGAGCAATGGTTACAAGTTTAGAAGAATCCCTGAACAAGGAAAAGCAGGTATGAACTATTCCAAGTTAAATGTGAATATGTATACTAACTTTTATGTGTATGAAGTACTGTGGTATGAACTGTACTGATATCATTACACTGACAGTAATTTGAATCTAATATGCCAGGTAAAACAAAAGCACACAAAGTCTATACAGAAGGGGAAGTTGTAATTGAAAGATAAAGATAAATGCTAAAAATTAGAAGCTTTTAGAAAAGGTTATTTGTCTCCTGGATGTACATGGCTTTTTAGGAGAGACAGGATTTGTGCAGTGACTTGAATGAAAGTCAGATAGTAGAAAGAGGTAGTTGACCCCCAGCCAATGTAGAATGGCTTCAGATATTGATAGTGTGGCTGTTGTACTGAATTTGCAATCAGTCCCTGAGGAGTGCAATTACAAAAGTAATCCTGAACCAAATGTGAAAGGTTTTCAATATCATGTTAAAGTACACTCCATATCCTTATTTAGAACCAATCTGGTTTTTAACATATGACCAGAATTTGTTACTCATTTGAAAAAGATTAATGTAGATTGGACAACACAAGTTTATTTTTGGAAGCTGTAGCAGTAGGGGCCGCAGTTTTAAAAGATCCTTTTGTGGTTAGTATCAGTGGAAATCAAAATATATATGGAAAATAACTTCAGTTAGGTAGATGTAAGAGTTGAAGGTGAGGTGACAGATTGGAATTCTGAAGCCAGAGTTGTGGTGCCGCGAGTTAAGCCACTGTTTGGGACATTGACATCCCATATCATAAAGCCGGTTCAAGACCTGGCTACTCTGCTTCCAGTCCAGCTCCCTGTGTTTGATCCTGGAAAGCAGCAAGTAACAGGTCGAGTACTTAGGACCCAACCACCCACATGAGAGACTTGGATGGAGTTCCAGGCTTCTGGCTTCCACGTGGCTCAGCCCCAGCCATTGTAGCCATTTGAGGAGTGAACCAACAGTTGGAAGATTGATTCTCTCTCTCTGTCACTCTGCCTTTCAGTAAATAGTCTTTTTTTAAAAAATTCAAATTCCACTTCAAAGGAGAAAAATGGCCAGTAGGCATGTTGAGAGCAAACAACCCTGTAGTTTTGTGTGTGGTGTCCTTACTTGTTTTGCATCTTTTAATCAGCATTAATGGATGCTTTTTCTGATATAATGCAAATATTAATTTTAATGCCTCTTTTGAGAAACTAATCATCTACTTTGAAGTGTATATAATTTTTGTGTCTTACTGTTTTCTAATACGGTGAAGGTGACAGAAGAAGTACGTAAGAACATTGAAGTTCGTTTAAAAGAATCAGCTGAGTTTCAGACACAGTTGGAAAAGAAGTTGATGGAAGTAGAAAAGGAAAAACAAGAACTTCAGGATGACAAGAGAAAAGCTATAGAAAGCATGGAACAACAGGTAAGTTACTAGCATTGTTCATCTTTTTTTTTTTTTTCCTTTGTATAAAGACTTGGATTCTTTTAATGAGCTCTTTAGTTCACATTCAGTTCATCGTGACAAATTGATGAACACAGAGGAAACAAAACAGTTTTCGTTTTCTTTTACCCTGTGCTGTATATGTGGCTGTTGCCTCTGGTGTCCTTGTTTCTTTGATGAAGTCTCTGCCTAAGGTGTGACTTTTGCTAACAGCAGAGAGTACATCCAGATTTGCAAAGCTTGCATAGTAGATTATACCGAGTTATAACAGTTTTTAAGTTTAGCAGCAGTCCTTTGGGTTAGTTAGGCTGTTAAAATTTTGTCTTCAGTATTTTCCAAATAAGTTAACAGTTAACTGATGTTAATCTTATTCTCACTGTCTAGTTATCTGAGTTGAAGAAAACACTTTCTAGTGTGCAGAATGAAGTGCAGGAAGCTCTTCAGAGAGCCAGCACAGCTTTAAGTAATGAACAGCAGGCCAGACGTGACTGCCAGGAGCAGGTAAGTGCTGCTGTCCCTGCTGCTTTGAGACAGGAGCCTCAGTCCCGAGGCTGCTTCTTGGAGTAGGTGCACGGGAAGAATATTTCCAAGGTTACAGAACTTGGATTAAGATACATTGCAAAGCGTAGGTAAAGGCTAAAAGTAAATTCTGCAATGTCTCTAACAAAGGAATCTGGGAAATGGAAAAAAGGATAGAAACAGGATTAGCAGATCAACTGTGCACTTGTTCTCATTCATAAGCATTTTCTTGCTGTTGCTGTTCTTTTCTGGTGTGATTGTGAACCTGTGTTGTAGACAGCATAGTCACAGAAACCTTCCCTCAACTCAGCAAGCTTTTTTTTTTTTTTTTTTTTTTTTTGTGGGACGTACAGCAACTTCATTGCTGTTCAGTACCTGAAAACACAGTTCGGGGATGGGTGACAGTGGGCAGGGGACGGGGTGTGGGCAGCAACAGAAACGGCCACAACGGCGAGGGTTTCTTTGACACTGGCCACAGGGCGTTTATTGGCGCGCCACTCTTGAACACGGGGGGTTCTCGCAGGTCAGTCCCCGAACGGTCCCGTGTGGGTTACCGGGCGAGAGTCACATATGTACAGGGAAGGCAGCCGGCCAGGACGATCATGCTCGGTCCGCGTCGCCTGTCTTGTGCCACTGACTCACCAGCATTGAGAGTAGAATACACAAGAAAGTCTTAAGTTAGATAAAAATGAATTATCCTTGGCCATAATGTATAGGTAGAAATATATCTAGAGACCAGTGTTGTAGTGTAGTGAGTAAAGCCACCACCTGCGATGCCAGCCTCCCATATGGGTGCTGGCTTATGGCCCAGCTGCTCCACTTCTGATGCAGCTCCCTGATAATGGCCTGGGGAAAGCAGCTGAAGGTGCCCCCAGTGCTTGGGCCCCTGCACCCACGTGGGAGACCTGGAAGAAGCTCCTGGCTTTAGCCTAGTTCAGCCCTAACTGTTGCAGCCACTTAGGGAGTGACCTAATGGGTGGAAAATATCTCTCTTTTTCTCTTTCTGTCTCTGTCTCTGATTCTCTAACTCTGCCTTTCAAATAAATAAATTTTTAAAGTTATTTATTTAGGCCGGCGCCGCGGCTCACTAGGCTAATCCTCCGCCTAGCGGCGCCGGCACACCGGGTTCTAGTCCCGGTCGGGGCGCCGGATTCTGTCCCGGTTGCCCCTCTTCCAGGCCAGCCCTCTGCTGTGGCCCGGGAGTGCAGTGGAGGATGGCCCAGGTGCTTGGGCCCTGCACCCCATGGGAGACCAGGAAAAGCACCTGGCTCCTGGCTCCTGCCATCGGATCAGCGCGGTGCGCCGGCCACATCGCGCTGGCCGCGGCGGCCATTGGAGGGTGAACCAACGGCAAAGGAAGACCTTTCTCTCTGTCTCTCTCTCTCACTGTCCACTCTGCCTGTCAAAAAAAAAAAAAAAAAAAAAAAAAAAAAAGAGAAAGGGAGATGACAGCGTTGTGGCACAGTGGGTTAGGCGGCTGCCTGCGACACAGCAGAGAAAGAGATCTTCCATTTGCTGGTTCACTCCCCTAGATGACCACAACGACTGGTGCTATGCTGATCCAAAGCCAAGAGGAGCCAGGAGCTTCTTCTGGGTCTCCCACACGGGTACAGGGCCCAAGGACTTGGGCTATCTTCCACTGCTTTCCCAGGCCACAGCGGAGAGCTGAATCGAAAGTGGAGCAGCTGAGACTCGAACCAGTGCCCATATGGGATGCCAACACTGCAAGTGGAGGCTTTACCCACTGTGCCACAGTGCCAGCCCCAATACATAAATCTTTAAAAAAAAAAATCTATCTGGGGCCAGCACCATGGCACAGTAAGTTAATTCTCCGCGTATGGTGTCGGCATCCCATATGTGCGCCGGTGCTGTTCCCAGCTGCCCTTCTTCCAGGAGGCTTTGGATGGGCGCAGCCTCAGCTGTTGCAGCCACCTGGGGAGTAAACCAACAGAAGGAAGACCTTTCTCTCTGTCTCTCCCTCTCAATATCTGTAACTCTACTTCTCAAATAAATAAAATCTTTATAAAATATATCTAATCTGAATTTCAGAATGCTGCTACACCCTGTTGTTTCTTGTGCAGTTTTAGATTAAGGGACATTATGGATTTTCAGCTTAGAGATGGTCAGCCCATAAAATCTGTGCATATAGTCCAAGACCCAAGAAATCCGAACTGTGAAATACTTCCCAGGCATTTCAGATAAGGGATGTTCAATCTGTATCTAATTCGCCATCAAGTCTCGTTTCCTTTGTTCTCTTTAAGTATGTATATATGGCTATATTCTACATAGCTGAGTCACATTTGGTTTTTTATTCCAAATTGCTATATAGTATTGTTTTAACAGTTTTTAAATATTTTCTTAAGTGGATACAGTATAGCATTTAGATAGTCTTCACTTGTTTTAAAAAGCACAGTATGTGTATTTTCTGAAAGCACTGCCCAGCTTTGAGGATTGTCAGTCTCGTGTGTCCCTGGGCAATGACGTCTTGCAGGCCAAGATGGCTGTGGAGGCCCAGAACAAGTACGAGAGAGAGCTCATGCTGCATGCCGCGGATGTGGAGGCTCTGCAGGCTGCCAAGGAGCAAGTTTCAAAAATGGCCTCAGCCCGTCAGCATCTGGAAGAAACAACCCAGAAAGCGGAATCACAGTTGCTGGAGTGTAAAGCATCTTGGGAGGAGAGAGAGAGAATGTTAAAGGTATTTTAACGGAGCATAATAGAATGGTGTGGAGAATTGGGAGAGCTGGGGTCTTTATCATGCATTGGAAACCTGCTGTTGTGATACCCTCCTGGATTACAGGATGAAGTTTCTAAGTGCATGTCTCGCTGTGAGGATCTGGAGAAACAAAATAGATTACTTCATGATCAGATTGAAAATTTAAGTGACAAGGTTGTTGCCTCGATGAAGGAGGGTGCACAGGGTCCATTGAATGTCTCTCTCAGTGAAGAAGGAAAATCACAAGAGCAGATTCTAGAAATCCTCAGGTAAGTCAGGTGTCAATACTAATGTCTCTAGTGCAGTTATGAAATGAAAATATAAATGTATAAATTGGGAATTTTATCTGTAGGTTACATATGGATATTACAGTTTTCTCTCTTAGTGACCAACAAATGCACTACTATCCAATTAGTGGTCACTGTTAGCATATTAAATGCCTTGACAGTCAAATCTGATAGTAAGAACTTACGTGAATTCTTCCTGAAGCACTAAATGCCTCCAGGCCACTTTAAGTATATCAATTTCTAAAGATACTGTCTAATAAAAAACAAAAATGTTGTCTCCCATTGTTTATAATTAGTCAAAACAGTCATTCATTTGATTTTTGTATTTTAAAAATTACCCATGTTTTGAAGTGTTGTGTTGGCCTTATTTCTTAATTCAAATAAAATCTTAACATATTCTTGTAGATTTATACGAAGAGAAAAAGAAATTGCTGAAACTAGATTTGAAGTGGCTCAGGTGGAAAGTCTACGTTATCGACAAAGGGTTGAACTGTTAGAAAGAGAGCTGCAGGAACTGCAAGACAGTCTAAATGCTGAGAGGGAGAAAGTCCAGGTATGTGTACTAAGCTTTCAGAATGTGATTGTTGAAAGAAAAGAGCTCATTTATATAAAATTTAATTTGTACAACATTCTTTTTTTGACAGGCAGAGTGGACAGTGAGAGAGAGACAGAGGGAAAGGTCTTCCTTTTGCCGTTGGTTCACCCTCCAATGGCCGCCACGGCTGGCGCGCTGCGACCGGTGCACTGCACTGATCCGATGGCAGGAGCCAGGTACTTCTCCTGGTCTCCCATGGGGTGCAGGGCCCAAGCACTTGGGCCATCCTCCACTGCACTCCCTGGCCACAGCAGAGAGCTGGCCTGGAAGAGGGGCAACCGGGACAGAATCCGGCGCCCCGACCGGGACTAGAACCCGGTATGCCGGCGCCGCAAGGTGGAGGATTAGCCTAGTGAGCCGTGGCGCCGGCCCAATTTGTACAACATTCTTACTGAACCAAAATGCTTGGTTTCAGATTTAGCTTCATACCATTACCTATATGCGCTTGGGTATATTGTTTAACTTGCTTGCCCTTGGTTTCATCTATAAAATTTGAATAATAGTAGTAAAGATTTAGTTAGTGCACATGGAACGTTTGGAACCATTGCTAATGGGTAGTATGTGCTTAATAAATTCCAGCCATCTTAATTATTTATAGTTGCCAGACACATCTGGAAGTCATTCTAGAATGGAATGATGTATTGCAACGGTTACAGAATTTCACACAAAGGGACAGTATATTGTCAGAAAACAAAAGGTACTGCAGTGGGACTATAAGGTGAAACCAAATAGGGCCTCCAGTTCATGGCACTAACTTGGAACAAAAAGAGTGGAATCAGAATTTCTGAGAAAGATTATATGTTATCTGAGTCTGTCTTGTTTCCTTTGCTGTTCCTTTGGGAAAAGCAAGTACTAGAAAATGTCCAGCCCACAAGCAAGTTCAGAGGAGAAAACCAACTTTTAGATACAGGAGAAAGAAGGTCAGCTAATCCATGTCACATCAGAAATAATATGACATCTGACCAAGAATGAACTATGTAGCATGGCACCATGAAAACTATTGTACTTTTAAAACTGGTGTGGGGAACAGTGGCATCACGTGCAAAAGATGGATAATTTTACCCACAATAAAAGAGATCAGAGTTCAATAGATACTCAGTAAAATTCCTTGAAACCAACTGATCAAACAACAGAAACAAATAATGAGGGATATCTGAACCACAGGGTAAAAAGTGAGCATCAAGATGATAGCAGTTTATCACAGCGGTTAAGTTGCTGGTTTAGATGCCTACATCCCGTATCAGATTGCCTGGTTCAGGTCCAAACTCCTCTGCTTCCTGTCCTGCTTTCTGTTTATGTGCACCCTTGAAGGGGGCAGGTGATATCTCAAATATCTGAGTCCCTGTTACCCACATGAGAGACTCATGGAATTCTGGACTCTTGGCTTTGGCCTGGAACATCTCTCCACCTTTCAAATGCTTTTTTTTGTTTTTTGTTTTTTTAAAGTAGCATCACTTTAGAAACATTAATAAAAGCATCGTAGCAAGATAAAAAATAAACAGTGTTTTGATATAGTGTTAGTACTGCTTATTTTTGGGATGATTTGTAGTGTCTTTCTTTGTAATTTCTTGTATTTTTTTAAACTTTCAGTAACATCACAGAAAAAACAAACTATAAATTTTTAAAAGTGCTAATTTTGAAAGTTGACTTAACTAAAAGTTGAAAATGAAACCCTTTATACTGTCAGGAGAGGTAGAACTAGTAAAAAGCAGCTTTTTTTCAGCTATTAGATGTGTATGTGTTTACAACCTTCAGGTGACTGCAAAAACGATGGCTCAGCATGAAGAACTGATGAAGAAAACTGAAACGATGAATGTAGTTATGGAGACCAATAAGATGCTACGAGAAGAAAAGGAGAGGCTAGAACAGGATCTGCAGCAAATGCAAGCAAAGGTTTGTAGTCAGAGTGCAAGCATTTACTGATTTTAGGGTTGTTATAAATTAATGTTTACAAGAAAATACTGGCTCTGTTTTCAGGTGAGGAAACTTGAGCTAGATATTTTACCCTTACAAGAAGCAAATGCCGAGCTCAGTGAGAAGAGTGGTATGTTGCAGGCAGAGAAGAAGTTGTTGGAAGAGGACGTCAAACGTTGGAAAGCACGTAACCAGGTAAATGAAGGTAGCACCCATCCCAAAACATGGAAACACTGATTTTAAATAATGGAGTAAGTTACAGGAGATAAATAGTTGTGGAACTAGTGTTTATCAATGAATATGTCATGCATATATCTGTGATAGATAGTAAACTCAATTTTGAAAAAAAAAATTTTGGTTACATTCTCTATTTTTTTTAAAAAATAGGTATTTATTTCCCTCAAATTCCAAAGTTTTAGCTAGTACGCTATTTCCACAGTGTTTTTTATGAAACATTATATAAGAACTTGAAGCTTACTGAAGCACTGTAGGAAGACCTGTCCTTTGGAGAAATGAAACCATCTAGCATGGTATAGCTGGAAACTGTGGTTCCTGTAATTTGACAGAAGGCTGGAAATCTGCCTGACCCATACCAGTTTGGTGACTTGTGAGAGTTCTTCACATTTCTGAGCTTCAGTTTTCCTTATTTATAAAATGATAGAATATCTCTCTTCATGTGACAAAAGTAGACAAATGTAGAGCAGTTTACCTAGTACCTGGCACCTAGAAAATGCTCTAGAATGGTGACCATTATTGCTACCTGCATAGAATTGTAGAGTTACAGAGTCTAAGTTATTTCTGTTTTTATTACACAAACTATAAAAATCAAGAAGTGAGGATAATCTGTCCTTATCCTGATACATTTGTGTTACATTGTTCTGCCTTTCCTGGTTAGTGGAATCAGGAATCATGTGTTAAATTGTAATGCATTATACATTTTTCATTATAAAGTTATTTGTATGAAATTAGATATTTAAAATTAAAAGCTTTTAGATTCTTTGGATCCTTTTATTTGGCTTCATTGAACTAACCTAAAACGTTTGTTCATAACTCTGAAAAAATAATCAACAGTTAATGACATTTGATTTTTTATCCCTCTTCCTTTTTTCCTAGACTTCTTAGCTTAAAAAAAAAAATGTTTTATCTTAACATCTCAGAATTTGGTACTTGCTCATTTTATATGCAGAGCACCTGATGTAAATAAGCATAATTATTCTGTTAAAGCACATTTATTTCATAAAATCTAAAAAGCCAAAATATAAATTTTTGCCATCCAGCATCTAGTAAGTCAACAGAAAGATCCAGATACAGAAGAATATCGGAAGCTCCTTTCTGAAAAGGAAGTTCATACTAAGCGTATTCAACAGTTGACTGAAGAAGTTGGGAGACTGAAAGCTGAAATTGCAAGGTATGTGGAAATAAGCTTTAAATCGTATATGAAATCCTTGAAAAGTTGATTTCTGCTCTTTATACGATTCCCCAGATGCTTCATGACTTTCAAGTTTTAGAAAACATGAAATTCCTCATATGTGGCTCTCACTCTATTTCCATGGTATTTGTGAAGCCATGATTTAATACTATGCCTAGCCACATAGTATAAATCTAAAAGTAAATTTATTTTCTAAACACTCAATAACTTTTATGACTAGGTTTTCTTATTTTCCTTTTGGTAATTAGCTTGTATTCATCAGTCTTTAAGGCAAGTTTTCAGTTCAAAATTTTCTGATAGGCATACAGTTAAGTATTACTCTTTAAAATATAAGAATTAAATATTAAGATTAATGTTTCTGTTTTTACCTTTTTAAGTTTAGTGTTACTTGTCCACATCATGGCTCATGAGTTGTTTTTATACAACCTGTAGGCAAAGAATAATTTCTACATTTTTAAACCTTTGTTTAAAAAAAATACAGCGAAGATTAGTATTTATTGCATCTGACCCTTTACAGAAAAAGTTTAACAACACCCAGTGTAGCAGAAAGAGTGCAGCTTTTGCTCTCAAGCCTATCAGAATTTAAATTTGGGTGCTGTTATTTGATTGACTGTAAAGTTTCAAATGTTAGTTGACCACTTACAGCGCAGTTATTCTCGCCTCTAAAATGGACATGTAAACTTAATGTAATGTGATCTTCCTGAAGGAAGTGTCTGTAGATTGAGTTTTGGTGTTTTTTTAAGAATTTTTTATTAATAAAAACTTACTTAAGCAAAGCAATTTAAGCATAAATTGAGGTATTTTAAATTTTGAAGCAAAGTCTCATTTAGTCTTTTTCCTTTACTCCATTTGTTAAAGATCGAATGCATCCTTAACTAACAACCAGAATTTAATCCAGAGTCTGAAGGAGGATTTAAATAAAATAAGAACTGAAAAGGAAACTATTCAGAAGGATTTAGATGCCAAAATAATTGATATCCAAGAAAAAGTTAAAACTATTACTCAAGTGAAGAAAATTGGACGCAGATATAAGACTCAGTACGAAGAACTGAAAGCACAGCAGGATAAGGTATTTTGGAGGGTTTGTTTAAAAAATGAGTTAATGTTACAAAAATCCTTTTTCTTATAGAATTTTGAATATTACTGTTTTTTAGAGTCTAAACTCATTTTTGAGCTTACATGATAATCTTTATTTGGTTTCACATTAGTTCTATAATATATCGAAAAGTACATTATAAGCACAAACAAATTTTGGTAAATGCTAGGTGCTTTAGTTCAATTTCCAAATTTTTATACTGTCCCTTTTCAGAATTACATTCTCATAAACTCATTGCTAATTTAAATTTTATACCTCAAAAAGTGGTACATTTTGGTGTGTTTTTTTTTTATTTGAGAAAATTACAAAGAGTGGGGGACAGGCAAGAAGAAATCTCTCGTACACCGATTCTCTCCTCAGAGGGCTTGCAAGGTCCAGGGCTTGGCCAGGCTGAACCAGGAGCCAGGAGCTATGAGCTATGAGCTACATTTCGGTCTTCTATGTGGGTGGCAGGGACTCAAACACATGGACCATCTTCTGCTTTTCACAGACCATTAGCAGGGAGCTGGATTGGAAGTGGGGCAGTTGGAACATGAACTGGTGCCCATATGTGATGCTGATGTCACGGGGAGCTACTCTACCTGCCATGCCACATTGGCACCAAAAAGTGGTAGCTTTTTATAATTAATCAAGCTCTGTGAAGTTTTGTTTATGTTTAGGGCCTATCAAAAAGAGCTTTAAAGTCTTTGTTACATTTTGATTCTTACATCTTGTTTTCAATTCCTAAAAGTAAGGAACCTGGGCATTTTTCATACATTAGATTAGAAAATAAAGAAAAAAATGCAAAATGTTTACCTTGTAGTGCTAACAAGTTAGCACTTTTATGCTTTTCTTTACATGTATTTGTTGTTTTTCTAGAGAAAACATGTTTGCATGTATTTTTTAAGAGGTTTTTATTTTATTTATTTGAAAGGCAAAGTTACAGAGAGGGAGAGACAGATCTTCCGTCTGCTGGTTCACCCACCAAATGACTGCAGTAGCCAGGGCTCAGCCATGCAGAAGTCAGGAGCTTTATCCAGGTCTCCCACGTGGGTACAGGGGCCCGGGGACCTGGGCCTTCGGCTGCTGCTTTCCCAGGCACATCAGCAGGGAGCTGGATCACAAGTGGAGCAGCCAGGATTTGAACTGGCCCATATGGGATGCTGGCATTGCAGGATGTGGCTTAACTTGCTACACAATTCTAGCCCTTGCATGTGTTCTTTTATACTCTAAATTTTCACTTGATTCATTATTATGAAAATATAATCCTATCACAAATTGTAGTGCATCATCAGTTTGATTAACTAATAACTTAAGTGGGAGACCATTTTGGGACAATAAAGTTCCATGGAAAATTCATTTTGTGGGTAGAGTGAACATTCAGCCTAACAGTTAACCTGTATTCCATATTGGGGAACTTAATTTGAATACCTGCTCTGGCTCATGACTCTAGCTTCCTGCCAATGCTGACACTAAGAGGCACCAGGTGATTTCTCAAGTAATTGAGTTCCTGCCACACAGTTGGTCGACCTGAACTATGTTATTTCCTCCCAGCTGTATCTTGGCCTAGCTGGAAGACCTTTGGGGAATGAACCAATGATTCTCTTTCTCTTTTCTCTCCCCTCCTCCCCACCTCTTTTTTTTTTTTTTTTTCAGGCAGAGTGGACAGTGAGAGAGAGAGACGGAGACAAAGGTCTTCCTTTTGCCGTTGGTTCACCCTCCAGTGGCTGCCGCAGCTGGCGCACTGCGCTGATCCAAAGGCAGGAGCCAGGTACTTATCCTGGTCTCCCATGGGGTGCAGGGCCCAAGCACTTGGGCCATCCTCCATTGCACTCCCTGGCCACAGCAGAGAGTTGGCCTGGAAGAGGGGCAACCGGGACAGAATCCGGCGCCCCAACCAGGACTAGAACCCGGTGTGCCAGCGCCGCAAGGCGGAGGATTAGCCTAGTGAGCCACAGCGCCGGCCGTCCCTTTCTCTTTCATTCAACCAGAGGACTGGAGTTCTTTCCCTCTCTCTCCCTTTCAGAATAATTAAGTAATTTTTAAATAGAAAATTCCTTTTTTAGTACCCTCAAAGCAAATATCTACTTAATAGTGATTATTTTCTTAGATAAGCATGCAGAAATAAAATTTTGTAGGTACATAATTACTGTTCGTCATCTTAGGTCATGGAGACTTCAGCTCAGTCTTCTGGAGACCATCAGGAACAGCATGTCTCAATGCAGGAAATGCAGGAGCTCAAGGAAACCCTCAACCAAGCTGAAACAAAGTCAAAATCACTTGAGAATCAAGTAGAGAATCTGCAGAAGGTATGGGTGTGAGAGCAATGAAAAGCATCAGTCCCTAATCTTTCCATCTTACATACCTAAAGAAATGTGGGTTGAACACTGGCACTTTACCTTATCATATGGGAATGGAAATCTTTCAACCGTCTTAACTTTGAATGGCTCACACTTATAAACAGTGTTCAGTCATCTTCAGGTATCCACTTTTTGATTTGAACCATTTTTATGGAAGTATTTATTATATTTCAATGTAATTTAAGATTAGTGATAAATTTTAAATCTATAGGACACAGTTACATTCCATGGTTAATGCTTTCTTTTCCTTTAAAAGACATTATCAGAAAAAGAGACAGAGGCAAGAAATCTTCAGGAGCAGACTGTTCAGCTTCAGTCTGAACTGTCCCGACTCCGTCAGGATCTTCAGGACAGAACCACACAGGAAGAGCAGCTCCGACAGCAGATAACTGAAAAGGAAGAAAAAACAAGAAAGGCTATTGTAGCAGCAAAATCAAAAATTGCACACTTAGCTGGTAAATTTCTATTTACTTCAAGTATTGAAATTGATAGTAAAAATTGGATCATGTGACACAGGCTAAAGATTAAACTGGCATTGTGGCATAGCAGGTTAAGCCTCTGGCTGCTCCACTTGCAGTACAGCTCCCTGCTAATGAAACTGGGAAAAGCAGCAGAAGATGGCCCATGTGCTGGGCCCTTGCACCCACATGGGAGTCCTGGAAGAAGTAAAGATCCAGGCTCCTGGCTCAGCCAAGGCCCGCCCTAGCCCTTGCAACAGCCATTTGGGGAGTAAACCAGCAAAAGATCTCTGTGTCTGTTCTCCTCTCTCTCTAACTGCACTTCAAATAAAAAAATCTTTTTTAAAAATGTTTTTATAAATAGGAAAGAAAAAAGTAAATGCTGTAAATGGTTTTTGTGTGTGTATGGTTTAAATGTTAGGTTTATTAGCAGTCTTCAGATGATGAATATTCCTTGGTATTTTTTTTTTATTTGACAGATAGAGTTAGAGAGAGAGAGACAGAGAGAAAGGTCTTCTTCCTTCCATTGGTTCAACCCCCAAATGGCCTCTATGGCTGGAGCTACGCCAATCCGAAGCCAGGAGCTAGATGCTTCCTCCTGGTCTCCCATGTGGGTGCAGGGGCCCAGGCACTTGGACCATCCTCCACTGCCTTCCCAGGCCACAGCAGAGAGCTGGACTGGAAGAGGAGCAACCGGGACTAGAACCCGGCACACAGATGGGATGCTGGCGCCTCAGGCAGAGGATTAATCAAGTGAGCCATGGCGCCAGCCCCTCCTTGGTATATTTTATTGTGAACTGTTTTTATTTATTTGAAAGGCAGAGTGGCAGAGAAAAAGATCCTCCATTTACCAGTTCACTCTCCAAATGGCCACAACAGCCAAGGCTAGGCCAGGAACCAGGCAGGAACTCCAATGGGTCTCCCATGTGTGTAGCAGGGACCCAAGTACTTGGGCCTTCATCTACTATTCCCCAGCACATTGGCAGGAAGCTGGATTGGAAGCAGAGGAGCTAGAACTGGAACCAGCCCTTGGATGTGGGTTGCAGGTGTCCCAGGCCGCTTAACCTGCACCATTGCACTTGCCCCATGATCTCCAGGATAGTGTCCCAACTGCTTATTTCAAGAAATAGTTATTGAACATTTAATAAATCCTATTATATGAAATGAAAAATTAATAACCCGTTATAATAATAGAGATATTAAAGTCCAAATAAAAACTACTGCCAATTAAGATTCTTCAGCTTTTTGAAATTTTAATTAGGAAAAGTAATTAGAATTACTTTGTGTTGGAATAAGTATACTTTAGATAGAAGTAATCAACATGGTTGTGTTTAGAACTTTGTTCATTGAGATGCCTAATATATGAACTAGTACAGATGGTGAGGTCTAGTTGTAGAAGGTTTGTGTGCCAAGTAAACATGTAAATGTTTCCAGTGTTTGGTTATAGTATTAATATAATCATATTGTTGCTTTAGGTGTGAAAGATCAGTTAACTAAAGAAAATGAGGAACTTAAACAAAGGAATGGAGCCTTAGATCAGCAGAAAGATGAATTGGACGTTCGCATGACTGCCCTTAAGTCCCAGTATGAAGGTCGAATTAGTCGCCTGGAAAGAGAACTCAGGGAGCATCAGGAGAGACACCTTGAGCAGCGGGATGAGCCTCAGGAACCCACTAATAAGGTGAGTATGGCATTCTGCTGAAAGGGCAGGTCTTTGTACATTTTAACTAAAAGTGCTGGTGACTTGGGCGGCTTTGTCGCAGTGAATTTTGCCTGAAGTTCAAAGTATACAGGGAGAATTGGCAATTATAAAAGATCTTGATGGCATTATTTAGTGACTTTTTCTGGAATAGACACAAAAATCAGTATTTTTCCCCTTATAGGTCCCAGAACAACAGAGGCAGATCACATTGAAAACGACTCCAGCTTCTGGCGAAAGAGGAATGTGAGTTTTAGTTCTTTTCACTGTTTCTGAAGTTCAAGGAAGACCTGTGATCATTAGGGAGAAAATAGAGAAGGATGTATTATAAAACTAGATCCTGAAGAACTGTTTATCCAAAAGCTATGTCAGTTAGTTGCTGCTCTTGTGTTCAGCCTACCGTGTGCCCTATGGGGTAGACCTTTGTCACAGAGAAAATCTCATCTTGGAGTTTGTGATTGGTTTCTGAGATAGGTTACTACCAATTGCCCTGTGATATTGCATGATGACAATTATGAAAAACAGGCTGATGAGGTTGAGGTTCAGGCTTTTAACAGTCAGATACATTCTACTTTGTAAGGATACACACCAGAACATTCTCTGCACAGGTTTTTTTTTTTTTTTTTTTTTTTTTTTTTATGTTTGTTTATTTCAAAGAAATACGTTTTCCGTCTGCTGGTTCATTCCCAGATTCTTGTAACATAGGGCTGGACCAGGCGGAAGTCAGGGACCAGCAGCTCCATCTAGGTTTCCCACATGATTGTCATCATGTGCTGCCTTCCAAGGTGCGTGGATCTGAAACAGGCTGGACTCACATACAAACACTTGATTGTGGAATGTGGGCATCTCAAACCCCAGCTTACACCACTGCACTACAACACCCTCCCTCAACCCATTTTTAATGCTTAAATTCAAACGTTTTGAAACAGTTTGCTTTTTTTGGTAAAGATTGATTTATTTATGTTGAAAGCAGTCAGAGTAGCAGAGAAATCTTTTATCCTCCTGTTCACTCCCCAAGTGGCCTGGACAGCCAGGGCTTAGCCAGGCAGAAGCCAAGAGCTTCATCCAGGTCTCCATGTGGATGGAAGGGAGCCAAACATGGGCCATCTTCTGCTGCTTTTCCCAGGCTATTAGCAGGGAGCTGGGTTGGAAGTGGAGCAGCCAGGATATGAACCAGCACCCATATAGGATGCTGGGGTTGCAAGCAGTAGCTTTACCTGTTAAACCACAACGCCAGCCCCTTTCACTAAATTTGTCAGGTACTCACTTTAAATCTGCCAGAAATCTGCCCAAAACAATGTTTAGAAAAATTTCATAAGGTCTGAACTCTGTTAAACCTTAACCTGGCCATAAACCTACTTTAGGAAAATATTAATGTTTTGTTTTTGGTAGAGTGTGTGTATTTTATAAGCAATATTTTAGTAGTTTTTATGAGTCACTACTCTTCCATTTTCTCCTCTGTAAGTGCCAGCACGTCAGACCCACCAACAGCCAATATTAAGCCAACTCCTGTTGTGTCTACTCCAAGTAAAGTGACAGCTGCAGCTATGGCTGGGAATAAGTCAACACCCAGGGCTAGCATCCGTCCAATGGTCACACCTGCGACCGTCACAAACCCTACTACCACCCCAACAGCTACAGTGATGCCCACCACACAGGTGGAATCACAAGAAGGTTAGTACAGATGATTGACCAACTGTTTTAGATTTCAGAGAAAAGATGACAGTAACCTCGGGGGTACATGAAGCATCCACTGAAGCTTAAGTCAGGCACTGTAAAAATGAGTTGGTGATATTTTGAAGTACATGATTCCTGAGATACTTGTTAATGCATCAGATTATGTCCTTCACTACCTTTCTTGCTATGTTTGTTTTTAAACAGAAAAGGAAAAATACACTCTGATTTTTTTTTTTAATTAGTAATTATTTATTTGAAAGACTTAGGGAGAGAGAGATCTCTTCCATCCGCTGGTTCACTCCCAAAATGGCAACAACAAATAGGGCTGGGCCAAGCCAATGTCAGGAACCAGGAACTTCTTCCTAGTCTTCCACATGGGTGGCAGGAGTGTAAACACTTGTGCCATCTTCCATTGCTTTTCTCAGGCCATTAGCAGGCAACTGGATCAGAAGTGGGGCAGCTGGGACTCAAACCAGCACCCTTGTGGGATGCCAGAGTCATAGGAGGTGGTTTTACCTGCTATATCTCAATGCCAACTCCCACCCCTATAAGTTTATAGCATGCTCTTCTAGGAACAGTATTTTTTTCGCTTCTAATAAAGATGATATGAAATCCACTTTGAAAAACCATATTAAATCATTGGTTCAACCCAAGTGTCATTTTTCACTGAATCTGACCGTTTTGTTGGTTGCTTTCTCTGGCTTGTTCCCATGGCATTTTGTTATTCATCATAGACATTGAAAGAGAAATAAAGATCACCCATCTGTTGGCTCACTCCCCTAAATGCCTAAAGTAGCCGAGGATGTGCCAGGCCCGAGCACAGAACCTGGAACTCATCCAAGTCTCCCATGTGCGTGGCAGGGACCCAAGTAATGGAGCCATCACCACCTCCCAAGGTGCACATTAGCAGGAAGCTAGATTGGGAACAGAGGAGCCAGGACTCAAACTCTGATACAGGATGCAGGCACCTGAAGTCCGCAGCCTGCTGCACCGCATGCCCATCCAAGTGTCAGAGTCCAGTACATTTTTCATGTGTAAGATACGTGTGTGTGCTGTGAAAGTACAGCAGGTGCATTCATTAAAATAATTATCAGTCAAAAATGTCATGGAACAATGAGTTACGTGAAAAAACAGGTATTATAAGTTTTTTGCCAAAATAAGAAAAACTTTTAATTCCATTTTTCCAGAAACTTTTTCAAGGACCTGTGTATTCCAGTTTAAGCTTAATGTTTGTTTTATGTCAATTAAAAATAAAATGTTGCTTAATAAAAACTTCAGGTTTGACTTTGGGTTTTTCAATTTGATTAGTTTTATTTGGTCATGCTTTAAGTGGGATAATGCATGCAAAAAATAGTTCCGGATACTTACTTAGTTAATGTAGTCAGCAATTTACTACATGATACTGGGGCAGGCATTTGGCCTAATGGGTAAGACACCAGCATCCCATATTGTAGTGCCTGGGTTCAAGCTTATTTCCGGTTCCTGACTCTTATAACTTGTGTGGTGACCCAGTTAATTGGATTCTGCCATCCCATGTAAAACCTTTGGCTTCAGTTCCCAGCTCTCAACTTGGGCTTTAGGTCGGCCACAGCTGTCAGAGGCATTTAGAAGTGAGCAAACAGATGGAACCCCTCTCTTGCTCACATGCGCATGCACTGTCTTTCTCTTTTCTCCTATTTTTGTGTCTCTGCCTCAAAAAAATAAAAAATAAATAGTTTTAAAAATGACTAATACATTACCTTTACCCATAGTATTTTTGTCTGATAAGTGGTGAGAAATGTAAACAAATAGCTACAAAATATAAGAGGATAGGGAAAAATAATCTGTGGTAAAAGTAGGTGACATACTAAATATTGTTTTTCAGCTATGCAGTCAGAGGGGCCTGTTGAACATGTTCCAGTATTTGGCAGCACAAGTGGATCTGTTCGTTCCACAAGCCCTAATGTCCAGCCTTCCATCTCTCAGCCCATTTTAACTGTTCAGCAACAGACACAGGCTACAGCCTTCGTACAACCCACTCAACAGAGTCATCCTCAAATTGAACCTGCAAATCAGGAGCTGTCTCCCAACATAGTAGAGGTTGTTCAGAGTTCACCAGTTGAGCGGCCTTCTACTTCCACAGCAGTGTTTGGCACTGGTAAGATTAATTTTAAAATGAATTTAAGGGTAGGCATTTGGTACAGTGGTTAAGACACCACTTAGGACACCGACATCCCATATCGTGTGTGTGGGTTTGAGTGTGCCTGGGTTTGAGTCCTAGATCTGCTCTGAATTCCAGCATTTCTTCTATTGCACACTGTGGGAGGCAGCTAAGTGATGAATTCAGCAACCCAAAATATACTGGTAACTTAATGCAGGTCCTGGGTCTGAGAGACACCCATGTAACAATTTATAGTGTGACTTATTCATTCAAGTAGCCCTAGGTTTTATGTATTGAAACTTGTGAATAGCAGTTACCAGTACAATCATAGTGAATCAGATTTTTACTGTAAAAGTGGTTTTATTAACCACAGTTTAGGTTTTATAAAACCACTGACTCAGAATATAAGCTGCCCTTTGTTTACACATTATTAGCAAGAACAGATTATGATAATGGACATTGATCCAGGATCTCAATAACCAGTAACCTGGTTACTATGTCCTCTTTTAGTTAAATGACCACCTTTGCTAATTTTAAAAATGTTTTTGAAATTCTTTGTGTAAAATGCAGTTGTTATCATGCTCTAATTCAAGATTTCAATTATGTAACTTCAAAGTTTCGGCCACTCCAAGTTCTTCTTTGCCAAAGCGCACACGTGAAGAAGAAGAGGATAATGCCATAGAAGCACCAGACCAAGTCTCTGATGATACAGTAGAAATGCCTCTTCCGAAGAAGCTGAAAAGCGTGACACCTGTGGGAACTGAGGTATGCTGACTTTCTGCTGACTCATGCTTTCAGTGATAATTCAGTGCAAAAAACACTCTGGGGTAAAAATGCCTTGTCTGGAAAACTCTCACTGTCTTGAACTTATTGCAGTTTCCACTGACATCCCCATTCCCATTTCAGTAAAAAACTTAGAAAAATATAAGTTGAATCCCATTTCAAAGTTACTTCTTAATTCAAAGCAAGTTCATGCATGCACATTTTAGACTATTATCTACCATCTTTTTCTAAGATTATCCAGAATTACATTCTTTTACTTTGTTTGTTAAACGTAAATTATAATTAGGTTTTCAAATCAAATATTTAGGACTTAAGATATGAAATTTTATGTGTGTTATTTTAATATTTCTGATACATAGCTTCATAAAATTATCAGTTTGAGTTTTGTTTTATTGAGAATTCTCACAGAATGGGTAACTGTCCACTGCATTGGTACTGTTAATCATACTTATGTATTGTGATTCAGGAAGAAGCTATGGCAGAAGAAAGTACTGATGGGGAGGTAGAGCCACAAGTGTATAACCAGGATTCTCAAGATTCCATTGGAGAAGTAAGAACAAACATTGACAATAACAAATTTTTGATTAATGAAATTAGCTTTAACAAATTGAAACCTTTTAACTTGTTTTAGATCAGTGAAATATTTAAAATGAACCGGTACACTTTCTGCTTTATTTTACTCCTATAGGTATACTGCCTTTAAAGGAATGATTTTGCTCCTACAAAGCACAGATTTCCAAGTGCAGAGTTGTAGTTATTCGGAAGGCCCAGAGTGCTGATTGAACACTGAGTTAATCCATGATGCCCCACTGGCTGTCCAGTATTGTGTTCCTTACAAAATGAACCCGTGGAAGCAGATGCATTTGTACACTTCTTCAGCTTTTGAACTCTCCTTTCAGGCTCCTCCAAAGGCTAAGAGCGTAGACTCTGAAGCTGCAAAACACTGGGTTCTTAGTTCTACCACTTGAAGCTGTGTGGCTATATCTCACTCATTCTCAGTTGTTCTACTTGTTGCAAAAATGTAACTTAAATTTTAGTATTATAATGTACCTGAAGAAGTTATCAGCGATAAATTAGACTTTTGAAATGTTGCTCCTTTTTTTTCTCATCATCTGCCTTGCAAGATGAGAGAATTCATACATAATACTAATTATTAACTTTTAATACTTACCACAGAACTCATAAATACCAGTTTTGTTCTAAGACATTTGTATTTAATAGCTAATATAGACCCAAGTTCACACAGCATCTGAGCTCAGGCTGTTTAGTTTCTAGCTCTACTCTTAAGCTTAAATGAATAGTTTCTGAATAACTTGAGGATAATTTTATTCTGATCTTGTGTAAAATTAAACAATTATCTGAAGCTACTCATTTCTTAAGTTATTTTTCTTGACTAAAAACACAAAAGAAAATTCTTGATGACATCATACATGATGACATCTGTCTTATACATCTGAGGAACATAAAAACAATTTGAGATCATATGTGAATTTCTATTGTATTTCCAGACTTTACTAAATTATTCTAAAATCTTACAGGAAAAGCATTTTCTTGAGATTGGCAGTAGTCTGTGACTTGTGCCACTTGGCTTCCCACTCCACCATGCTCACACTACTGAATGAGTTGCAGCTATGTCTTCTGTTTTCTGATGATGAAGCATATGTTCTTCATAAATGTTGCTTTTCATGAAATAAGCATGTCAGTTTGAGGCACATTTTTTATTAGGATATGACTTACTCATCTCTTCCATTATGATATACATAATTTTCTGGAATGTCTTAGTTCAAAAGACACTGTTGCTGGCTTATGTAAAAATTTGATTTGTATGGAGTACTTAGCCAAAAAGAAGATACAGTATAAAGCTTTATAGTAACTATCAGGAAAAAAGTAAAAATAATAGTGTATAAAATGGATAGAACTGGAGGTCATTATCATATCATAAGTGGAAACAGAGACAGACAATTAACTGCATATTCTGTCTCTTACGGAATATTCTTTAAAGTCCAGCTGAACTTAGAGTAGAAATTTATGGATACCGGGAAGGGGTTGGGAGACAAGGAAGTTAGATAATGGGTACCAAAACACAATTACATCAAAGACTTTCTAGTGTTCAGCAGCACGGTGGGTTGACTACTGTTCATGATCATGTACTCTATGAAGAACTAGAAGAGAAGGAAATCAAAGTGCCAATTCCCTGATTTAAAAGTTTATGCTGCCTGGGTGTTGAAATACTACACTATACCCTATAAAAATATACAGGTATAAATGTTAGTTGAAATTTTTAATGCATAAGGGGCCGGTGCTGTGACACAGCGGGTTAACACCCTGGCCTGAAGCTTCAGCATCCCTTATGGGCGCTGGTTCAAGACCCGGCTGCTCCACTTCCGATCCATCTCTCTGCTATGGCCTGGGAAAGCAGCAGAAGGTGGCCCAAGTCCTTGGGCCCCTGCACCTGAGTGGGAGACCTGGAAGAAGCTCCTGGCTCCTGGCTTTGGATTGGCGCAGCTCTGACCATTGCAGCCAGTTGGGGAATGAACCATCGGATGGAAGACCCCTCCCTTCCTCCCTCACTCGCTCGCTCTCGCGCGCGCGCGCTCTCTCTCTCTCTCTCTCTCTCTCTCTCTCTCTCTCTGCCTCTCCTCTCTCTGTGTAACTCTGACTTTCAAATAAATAAATCTTTAAAGAAAAAAAATTTTTAAGACATAAAAATAGAAACAATGGTTTATTTTAGTAGCTAACAAGATAGAATTATGGGAATAGATTGAGCAAGAATTACTTTAATAGTAAATATAGGTATATGTACATAATGTTTTCTCATTGGAGTGTTATCCAGTAAGATTTAGAAAATACTCTTTTGTAGGAAGACAATGAAGAAATCAAAAAGCTTATCTGCATTAGTGTATATTTCAAATTCTATTTTTGCAGTTGTATATATAAAATGCTACCAATCCATTCTTTAGTCTTTACTTTGACCTATAATATCTCACCAAAACTTTTAAGTATATTTGATTTCTTCCTATCTAATTTTCAAATTTTTGGTGTATTTACAAAGGGAGTCACCCAGGGAGATTATACACCCATGGAAGACAGCGAAGAAACCTCTCAATCTCTCCAAATAGATCTGGGCCCACTTCAGACAGATCAGCAGACAACTACTTCATCCCAGGATGGTCAAGGCAAAGGAGATGATGTCATTGTAATTGATAGTGATGATGAAGAGGAGGAGGAGGATGAAAATGATGGAGAACATGAGGTAATATAAATTTAGTTTAAAATTATCCAGTGTTTTTAAACTGTTTGATGAAAGTGCCCAAATCCTGGCGTTCATACATTGACTACTAAATCCTGAGTCTGTTTCAATACATCATTTTTTTTTCTATGTCCTGATAAATCAACACAATCTCATTTTTAAGTGAAATTGAAAGCACTATAGTTTTTGGAGATAAAGAAGAAAAAACTGGATGTTTTAGGTTTTTTGTTTGTTTGTTTTTCCTTAAAACCCCATAGTCCACTTCAGAAGTAATTTGTAGCATACGTAGCTTAATGAAGTATATTTTTGTTAAAATTTTGTATCTTATTTTAGAATTCAGTCTTATGTTGACAGCTTCTATTTGAGATTTTCATTAATAAAGCAACCTTTTAAAAAACTGTAAAATATAATTGTGCCATTTTTCCCTCAACTCTTTAAATTTGGAATTAAAAATGGACTCCTTGATACTTTGATCTCATGCAAATAATTAGCATTCAGAAGTGATTGTTGTTGTGCTAATTCTGGTGGGTGTACAAGTTGAGGTATTTGGTGCCACTGACCTGATCACACACAACTCTCGGGACAACTCTGTCCTGACGGAAGTGTGTTGTCACGATGTGCAGGACGTATGGGCCACATCCTACATCTTTATTTATACTTGGGGATTTTTCTACCAGGACTATGAAGAGGATGAGGAAGATGATGATGATGATGAAGATGACACAGGGATGGGAGACGAGGGTGAAGATAGTAATGAAGGAACTGGTAGTGCAGACGGTAATGACGGCTATGAAGCTGATGATGCCGAGGTAACAGGCTAGAATTCTGACCATTTTCTTCAAGAGCTTGCCTAGAAAACTTGTTATTTTCCAGAGATATAGAAAGGCCTTTATTTTCAGGACACTAAAATTTTTTATAGTTTTGAAGTTTGTTTTATTGGTTTTTGCTGTGGTTTGGTTTTGTTTGTTATTGCGTCTTTTCTTAAAAGATACTCGTGATGTATTTAAGCTTAAGTCATCACATTTTGTTCTTAGGGTGGTGAGGGGACTGATCCGGGTACAGAAACAGAAGAAAGTATGGGTGGAGGTGAGAGTAATCAGAGAGCTGCTGATTCTCAAAACAGCGGTGAGATATTTGCATTTTGTATAATTCAACATTTTTGGTAATGTTTTCTAAACTAGAATTGCATTGTTACTATTTAGGTAATAAAACACAGTGGGTAGGTGTTCGCCCTGGTGACTAAGATGCTCTTGGGATGCCCACATGCCATACTACAGTGTCTGGGTTTGAGTCTCGCTCTGCTGCTGCTTCCGGCTTCGCTGGGAGGCAGCAGTGATGGCTCCAGTACTCGCTTCCCTGCCACCCACATAGGAGACCCATGCTGGGTTCCTGGCTCCTGGCTTTGGCCTAGTGCAGCGCCAGCTGTTGCAGGCATTGGGGAAGTGTGAAACAGCAGATGGGAGCTGACTCTTTGTATCTCTTTCACACTTTGTCTCTCTGCCTCTCAAATAAACAAACAATTTTTGTTAGAGAGAGAGAGGGGGAGGGAGGGAGGGAGGGAGGGAGGAGGGAGGAAGGGAGGGAGGGAGGTCTTCCATCCGATGATTCACTCCCCAATTGGCCGCAATGGCCAGAGCTGCGCCAATCTGAAACCAGGAGCCAGGAGCTTCTTCTGGGTCTCCCACGCAGGTGCAGGAGCTCAAGGATTTGAGCCACCTTCTGCTGCTTTCCCAGGCCATAGCAGAAAGCTGGATCAGAAGTGGAGCAATCGGGATTCAAACCAGCACCCATATGAGATGCTGGCGCTGCAGACAGTGGCTTTACACACTAGCCACAGTGCTGGCCCCAATAAGCAATTTTTTTAAAAATTTAAAAACCATATTTAATAAAAATTGGCAAACAGGATTGATTCTTAACTCACTTTTATTGCCATTCTGCTCATAGAAGTCTATATTTATGGCTGTTAGGTATCATTATATTAACTCATTGAATGGCTGTAAAATTCAAACATTTTGAGATCTCTAAATTATTTTAAGTGCCATATGTTACTGTTGCTATTAGTGAGTGGGAAAATTAAATCAAGGGCTTCTAACAGGAATAACAGCTTACAACCAGAAGAGGTCAGTCTCATCAAGCTGCATGTTTCAAAATTTGTGAATATTGAAGCTTTCCAATATTGCCTGGTTTTCTAGTAGGGGAAAAACAATTTTATTATCAGTGTAGTATGAATGTTGTTAAATCTTTGAAAAAATAGGTCCTACAGGTTCACTGAAAATTAGTAGGTATTGGGGGGTTATGAAAATTAGGGAAAATTATTTTATTTTCTATTATTTTAAAATATGTTTTATATGTTTAAGAATATATTTATTTATTTGGAAGGCAGAGTTAGAGGGAGAGACTGACAGACCTTCCACCCTCTGGTTCTCTCTGTAAATAGCTACAACAGCTGGGACTGGTCCAGAACTCCATTCAGGTCTCCCAGGGAGACCGAGTGCTTGCCCCCTTCCAGTGCTTTCCCATGCACCTTAGTAGGGAGCTTAATCAGAAGTGGAGTGACCAGAACTCGAACCAGTGCTCATAGGATGCCAATCTAAAGCATTTGCTTACCCCCACTGTAGCCAAGCACTGACCCTTCAAATGTGTTTTAAAGAATTACTGATCATCTGGTACAGCATTGTTGGTTTCATGGGTAATAGTACTGAGTCAGCATCAGTAGTGATTCAATAGTAAAACTATATAGATAGACTAATGGGAAGACATTGAGTTTTTTGGGTTTTTTCCAGATACAGGATAGGAGCTTACTGCATACTTGGAGGAGACTTTGTCTTCCTCTCTCCCTGCTCTCCCTTCTTTCGTTTTTTTCTTCTTTTTTAGGGGGAGTCAGTGTATCAAACAATAGATGTAGTAGTTTAGTTAGTGGATGGATTTGGCACATTGCTAAAGGTTACTTGAATGCTTTTATGAGCAACTTGTAATGTGTTACAACCCTAAACCTAGGTTTAGGTATCAGTGAAGAATCTAAATCACATTATAGTGGCTTCACCAAGGTCATTCATATTATACCAAGGATCTGATTCTGTGATACCCTGTTCAACTTTTCATCATGGAAGACAGCTTCTGTTGTTTCTGCAGTGTGCATAGAAGCTGTTAACATTTGAAGAGCCATTGAAATTTGAATTCAGGAAAACTAGAATATAAAGTTTCCTCGGAAAGCATTTGCCCAATCTCCTCCTCCCTGTTTGTTAATTAAGGCCTCGTTGGCCCGACTTCTGGGTAATTTGCCCACTCTATAAAGGAGGATAGAAGCCACCATTATTAAATGCTGGTCACTTGTTGAGGTAAGTGCTTTATGTCCAGCATTTGAAATCTTCAGGTACTTGCCTGAGGCCCCACAGCTGATCGTGGGAGACTCCACTGTCTGTGAGTCTGGAGCCTGTGTTCTTTCCCCCCACACCTTGTAGTCGTGAAAATAGTTGTGAGGTGAACATTCCTAACGGTGAGATTCACACTTGCAGGGTTTCTCTTAAGCTATTTTGTGGTCAGTGTAAAAGTGAGCATCTCTTCTCCCGTAGGTGATGGGAATACAGGTCCGGCAGAGTCCTTTTCCCAGGAGATTTCTAGAGAACAGCAGCCGTCATCCGCATCTGAAAGACAAGCCCCTCGAGCACCCCAGTCCCCACGACGCCCACCACACCCCCTCCCCCCTCGACTGACCATTCATGCTCCCCCACAGGAGCTGGGACCACCAGTCCAGGTAGTGGAAGTACTGGGTGCTGGTCATCCAAGAGAATGAGCTCTTTAAAAATCTTGATTTGTCCCTTTCCGAGACACTCCTGTTTCTTTTTTTTTTTTTTTCTTGGTTTTTTTTTTTTTTTTCCAGAATGAAATAAACTTTTTTTTTTTTTTTTTTTAAGATTCATTTATTTATTTGAGAGGTAGGGTTACAGAGAAAGAGAGAGAGAGGTCTTCCATCTTCTGGTTCACTCCCCATATGGCCACAACAGCTGGGACTGGGCCAATCTGAAGCCAGAAGCTTTTTCTGGGTCTCCCACATGGGTGCAGGGGACCAAGAACTTGGACCATCTTCCACTGCTTTCCCAGGCCATACGCAGAGAGCTGGATCAGAAGAGGAGCAGCTGGGACTTCAACCAGCATCCATATGGGATGCTGGTGCTGCAGGCAGTGGCTTAACCCACTACACCACGGCGCTGGCCCCTGAATGAACTTTTTAATGTTTGACATGGCTTTATAAAATGTGTTGAACTGAAACTAATCTGATATCCTTGAAACTTATTTCATACATTGAGTGCACTGTAAAGGCAAAGTTATTAAACGTTAAATACAAATTAAAATGAATAGGTCACAGCAAATAAAATTATGGTTAGTATTTCTACAGGTGACGTGCTCGCAGCTCACTACTTGTTTTGACAACTTGTTTCTCCAAGAAGCACATATAAAAGCACATACAAAAAAAATAAGGACATTTCTGTTCTACTTAAGGAACTCATTTGATCACAGATTATTTCCATTTTTTAAATTAATGAATGAGGTCAGGCATTTGGCACAGCAGTTAAGATGTATGCTCTTTGAGATGCCTGCCTTCCATATTGAAGTGCCTGGGTTTGAGTCCTGGCTCCACTTCTAATTCCAGCTTCCTGCTAATGCACACCCTCAGAGGCGGCAGCTGGTGCTGGCTCAAGTGCTTGGGTCCCCTGGGAGACCTGGATCAGTTCCTAGCGGCTGGCATCTGCTGACAACGCCTTGGTGTTTTGGACATTTGTGAAGTGAGCCAGCTAGCCGATGGAAGATAATCACTTTGTCCTTCTTTCTTTCTGTAACAAATAAAAAGTATTTACGAAATTAATGAGTTGTATATAATTGGATAAATTTAGAAATAACCAGGAAACAATTTATGAGAAGTCAAACACTGCCATTTGAATGTCGAAGTTTAATCACCCCTTAAGATCCACAAGCATCTGTCCACATTTTCAGTGAGATAGGAAATGAATCCCTTCACATCCATAGATTGTTTTTCATTTAAATATCAGTTAATGTTTTATCTGTTGGTTAGTAAAATGTTTTCTGTTAATATTGTAGTCTGTGTGATTAAAAATTTCTCACTGATTTTGTGGCAGTTATTCTTGAGAAAATAACCTGATGATCACGTATCTGCTCAGATTTCCAGTTACTTTTATTGCCAACATAGTAAGCTGTATCTTTTGATACTGTTTCATTGCCTAATTCCTTAAAACAAATGTGATTCCTTTCTTGGCATACAGAGAATTCAGATGACACGGAGGCAGTCTGTAGGGCGTGGGCTTCAGTTGACTCCAGGAATAGGTGGCATGGTAAGTGCCTACCCGCCTTGTGGAAGTAATTCATTTGTTCAGCATGTGTTTGCGTGGCTCACAGCATGCTCTGGAATGCACCTGGAACTCCTGCCCTGTCTCTCTGTTTAGCAGCAGCATTTTTTTGACGACGAAGACAGAACTGTTCCAAGTACTCCAACTCTTGTGGTGCCACATCGCACTGATGGATTTGCTGAAGCGATTCAGTAAGTTAGTGAAAGAAAAACATATAATCTTCCTACTTCCATGTTCATTTTATTGATTTCATTATTTGTTCTGCCAAACACTAATATCCCCTTGGGGTAGGAGGGCTGAGGGTGTCACGTTAGGGAAAATTATTCAGAAATGAATGAAACATTTGTATCACAAAAATAGGTACTAGAGATGACTTTGAATGTTCCCAACACAAATGATAAATGTTTTGAAGTGACAGATAACACCAGTTACCCTGATCTGATCATTTAAAATTGTTTACAAGTGTTAAAATGTCACATTGCACATTTAAAATTTTTTAAATTTTAAAATTCTCTGGACATGTCCATAGACCAATGGATAAAAAGTCATAAAAGATTAATTTTTATTTTTAAAAAAATTATATTTAGGGGCCAGCACTGTGGCATAGCGGGTTGAGCCACCGCCTGCAGTGTTGGCATCCCATATGGGCACCAGTCCAAGACCTGGCTGCTCTACATCCAATCCAGCTCTCTGCTGTGGCCTGGGATAGCAGCAGAAGGTGGCCCAAGTGCTTGGGCCCCTACACCTACGTGGAAGACCTGGAAGAAGCTTCTGGCTTCGGATAGGCACAGCTCCAGCCATTGTGGCTAATTGGGGAGTGAACTAGCAGGTGGAAGACCTACCCACCTCCCTCCCTCCCTCTCTTTCTTTCTCTCTTTCTCTACCTCTCTTTCTCCCTCTCCGTAACTCTTTCAAATAAAGAATCTTTAAAAAAAAAATTTTAGATTTAAAAGCAATATAACAGTTGTTAAGAGCAGGTTCTTTAGAGTCAAAATGCTTTGTAGACCCTGGGTTCTGCCATTTACCAGTGTACCAAGCTCCTTAGGTTCTCTGTTCCTGGGTACCCTCATTTTTTTTTTTTTTTTAAGATTTATTTTTATTTATTTGAAAGCTTACAGAAAGAGGTAGAGTCAGGTCGATCTTCCATCTGCTGGTTCACTCCTCAGATGGCGCAATGGCTGGAGCTGATCCGATCCGAAGTCAGGAGCCAGGAGCTTCTGGGTCTCCCACATGTGTTCAGAGGCCCAAGGAGCCAGGAGCCAGGAGCCAGGAGCTTCTTCCAGGTCTCCCATGCAGGTGCAATGGCCCAAAGACTGTGTTCCCAGGCCATAGCAGAGAACTGGATTGGAAGTGGAGCAGGCAGTGGCTTTACCTGCCTGCTATGCCACAGCGCCAGCCCTGGTACCCTCATTTTTAAAACGGAAGTAACAGTGCCATAATTCCTGCCCCATAAATTGTGAGAATCAAAGAGCTTAATTTGTATTAACACATTTAGAGTATAGATGTTGGTAGTTTTATTGATCACCATTTATGGTGTTATTATGAAAGCCAACTTGAAAGCAGCTAACTACAACCTAAACACCTGGAAGTCATGCTGGAGACATAAACAGTGGACTTGTTAATTCAAATGAAGAACTAATTTATTCCTAACAGTTACAGAAGTGGAATCAGAATCAGGTAATATCTCAAGTACATTAGCATAAATTAATTAATTTCACTAATTTGTCTCATGATGTTACTCCTATCTCTATTCTACCTACTTCATATTAAGTTTGTGTTGCTTCCAGCAAATTCAAGAAATGAGGCATAGTTTAGGAGAACTGAAAGTTATTTTTATAAAAATCACAGGTTTGCTTCCTATATTATTTACATCACTGAGATTTAAACAGAGTTAAGTTTAAATTTATCTTAAATTAATTTTTATCCATTTAGTTCCCCACAGGTTGCTGGTGTTCCTAGATTCCGGTTTGGGCCACCTGAAGATATGCCACAAACAAGTTCTAGTCACTCCGATCTTGGCCAGCTCGCTTCTCAAGGAGGTGAATACCATAAATAAGCTCTTAGAGTTCCTGGATTTGTATGTTTGCTAATAAGCTGTTGTGATGAGATTTTAAAGGAGGTAGGAACAATTAAAAAAATTTTTTAGAGGTGATATGAAAATAATCCCTATGCTAAATTATGGAGAATTTTGTTTTATGCTTACTACTACTAAGTGTTATATCTTAGATAGGATTCTTATCTTCCCAACAGTTGTAACTTCTGTGAGCATAAGGACTGGCTTTTACATTTGTATCCCTGCTCCTGGTGTGATGTCACATGTAGCATGTGTTCAGGAGTATATGTTGCACCCATCAGTATACATAGGCACTGCCAGCTGTTTTAAAGGTGAGAGATGCAGCCTATAGTTTGGTACTTAGAACATTTCTAGTTCAACATGTAAGACTGGTAGGATTTTCTTCCCTTAATATTATTCATTTTATTTTATTTATTTAAGGTTTATTTGTTTTATTTGAAAGGCAGAGAGATAGAGATACATCTTCCATCAGCTGGTTCATTCCCCAAATGCCACAAAAGCCGGAGCTGGGCTAGACTGAAGCCAAGAACCTCTTCCTGGTCTCCGACATGAGTACAAGGGCCCAAAGACTTGGGCAATTTTCTACTTCCTTCCCAGGCACATTAGCAGGGAGCTGGATCAGAAGTGGAACAGCTGGGAAGTGAACCGGCACCCATAGGGGGTGCTGGCACTGCAGGTGGTGGTTGAACCCACTACTCCACAGCACCAGCCCCAGCATTATTCCATTTAAAAATATGTGGAATAAAAGGATCCCTGAATTAAGAAAGAGGAGTTGATTATTTGCATATGAATGATGCTGGTTGTGGAATTGGTTACCTTTTAATCCTCAGCTGGGGTTGATATAACCCTCTGTATTTCTGTGATGCTAACGTTCTGTGCGTTGATTATGCATGAGATTTATATATAAAATGCATATGTTTTACATTATCTCAAAATGAAAGATTAATCTGCATCCCTCAATAAATACATGTGATGTAAACTACTCCCAATCATTTGGGATGCTAATTCTAACATAGCAAGCCTCTGTTAGTGTGAAATTGGGAGTTAACTTTATATAAAATTAAAATGTTACATGACTTTGTATGTTAGGATGATTTCTTGGACTTGAGATATGGGCTTAAATTGGAGTATTACCATTGATTTTTTGTGACTTTAAGGAAAGTTAACTTTCTTAAGTTTCAGTTTTATTACCAAAAGGGGGAAATAATAATATATTGCAGTTTGAGTAAGAGGTAGATTCTCACATCATACCTAGTTCGTAGTTACTCAATAAAGTTAGCATGTACGAAACTGCTGAGAGCATCTTTAATAATTGCTTTTTGAAGAATACGTGCTGGGGCCAGCGCCGTGGCGTAGCAGGTAAAGCTGCCACCCGCAGTGCCGGCATTCCATATGAGCACCGGTTCAAGTCCCGGCTGCTCCACTTCCAATCCAGCTCTCTGCTATGGCCTGGGAAAGCAGTGGAAGATGACCCAAGTCCTTGGGCCACTGCACCTACATTGGAGACCTGGAAGAAGCTCCTGGCTTCGGATCGGATCGGTTCAGCACCAGCATTTGTGGCCATCTGGGGAGTGAACCAGCTGATGGAGGATCTCTCTCTCTCTCTCTTTCTTTCTCTCTCTCTCTCTGCCTCTGCCTCTCTGTAACTCTCTTTCAAATTAAAAAAAAATCTAAAAAAAAAAAAAAAAGAATAGCCTGCTTTAAATAGTGTTAGGGCGTTTAAAGAATGGATGTAAATCCTGTTTGAAATTTTGAGAGGTAGACTTGTTTTACAGAATAAATTGTGGGTTTCAACAAACTTTACATCTCTAATTTTTTTTCTTTCTGATAGCTGGCATTCATTAACATTCAGAATTATCTTTAGGTTTAGGAATGTATGAAACACCCCTCTTCCTGGCTCACGAAGAAGAGTCAGGGGGCCGAAGTGTTCCCACGACTCCTCTGCAAGTAGCAGCCCCAGGTGGGTCTTGAAGGCACATCAGTAGATCTCGCGTTTCATGAAATACCTTCTGGGTAAAAATTCAATGAACCACGAAGTTAAAGCTTCTTTCCTTTCTAAAGTGACTGTGTTTACTGAGAGTACCACCTCTGATGCCTCGGAACATGCTTCCCAGTCTGTCCCAATGGTGACAACATCCACTGGTGCTTTATCCACCACAAATGAAACTGCTGCAGCTGATGATGGAGATGAAGTATTTGTGGAGGCAGAATCGGAAGGGTAAAAGTTCATTTGTACTCTTTTCTTTCTTTGGATGTATCTAACTGTTTTCCTTGAGCCAGGGAGCAGTCTGTTATGCTTAATTCTCAGTAGCATTCTCCTGAGAAGTTAAACCATACATTAGAAAACTACTTTGAATATAGTAACACAGTTTAGAACTTTGAGATCTTAATTGAGGATAGTTCTTAGAACTGTTATATCCCTGAAAAACACATGAATATATGCTAAAACAAGGTATTTCACTAAAAATACTGGTACCCTTCCATTGATACAGCTGCTTGAACTTTTCCCCTCAAGGAAAGAGTCTTTCTATAAAAATCAGGAATGTTAAGAAATGACTTACTTTCTACTTAGTGGGCTCACAAGTAATTCTCACCCTTATTTATGTATATGAAGACTTTGATGCCTGAAATACTGACTTTGTACAAATTAGATATTTTTCTGGTATTTTTCAGGATAACTTAATAAAACAGAGACATTGGTCTGCTCCATGGTCAGAGGCAGGCTAGAAGTAGGACCCAAACTTCCTAGGTAGAGGTCCAGGATTTACTTGCTTAGTAACATCTTAGAAAAATTGTAGGTCAACTCTAGCATATAAGGGGAAATGCAGGTCTGTTAGTGCCTGATGTTTGGTAGGTTACAAACCTTGGGGAGAATGCTGTCTGCTATTAATTCTATACCGTGTGTGGAGGACATTTTACATATATTATTACTAAGCCACACAGTATTCCTGCAACAGATTCTCCCATAAATTATACGAACGGTAACAGTTGGACTCAGAGCTTAGACTGTGCTACTGATAACCAGCTCAACCTGGATTTGAAACTCTGGCATCCGTCCCACACTCTTTACACTCTCCTGTACTCAACTGCAGCCCACAATTCTGAGATGCCCTCTGCTGATTGTTACCAGTAACTGTTAGCGTTTATGTATGCTTGAAAAAACTGAGCAGATTCCAGCTCTTCATACCCATAGCCTGTTAATCTAACTCTGTGGCAAGGGTCTGGTGACCTGTTAATAATTGTGACTATATGAATTACTTTAGTACTCTGCTCCCCTAAAAGTTGTTCTGGGATTTATGAAAATCTAGATAACGTGTTTCCTGTGAGTAGCAAGAATGTGAACATCCTTGTTAACAGGAAGAAAGTAACCAATAAAAGTAAAATAAAAACTAAATTGAAACGTCTACAATTGAGATAAGAGTTACCAGTATCAGAGCGTGTAATTTTTAGTTAGAAGGGAGTTGGAGTAATTTTTTTATTGCTTTCTATTTGGAAGACACATATTACCCATCTACTGTTCACTCCCCAAAATGCCCTTTATGTCTGGGGCTGGGCCAAGCCAAAGCTGGGGACCTCATATGGGTCTCCCACACGAGTGGAAGGGACGCACCTATTTGAGCCATCACTTGCTGCTTCCCAGGGTGTGCATCAGTAGGAAGCTGGAATCAGAAGCAGAGCCAGGACTCAAATCCAAATCCAGACATTTTAGTATGTGATGCGGGCATCCAAGCTTCTTAACCAGTGTGCCAAACAGCCCTGGCTGCTATGGGTCATATAAGTAATAAGCCATACCGAAAAGAGTTTGAGAACAATTTAAGATGCATTCTAAAGCCAGTTTTATATTTTCTTATCAAATTTTGTTCTCCTTTCTTAGTATTAGCTCAGAAGCCGGCCTAGAAATCGATAGCCAGCAAGAAGAGGAACCCGTTCAGGCATCTGATGAGTCAGATCTCCCGTCCACCAGCCAGGACCCTCCTTCCAGTTCTTCCGTAGGTAAGGCTGCAGTGCTGCTTTTAGAAATCAAAGTTGTGTGAGAAGACAGTTTTATTGGTAACAAATCAATGATTTTTTTTCCTCTGAGTTTTAAGATACATTACATAAAGGAGAAGTTTTGTTATTAAAGGAAACTTGCTTTATATTTACATCGTTTCATATTGACACTGGCAGTCAGAAATGCAGACACCACACCTCCACCTGTTTGATTCAGACAGCGGATTGTTAGTATGTCTCCCGTAGAGCTGCCGGGCCTTCAGAGGTACTACAGGAATAGTGGGGGTGGGTGCTCCAGAAGGAGGATAAAGAGCCATACTGCTGTCTCTGTTGGAACCAGAGTAGCTTCTATTTTTATGTGTTCTACAGGTCAGGGTCGCGCATGAGATTCGATTTGGAAGGTTGAAAGGTGGGGCACCATTGCTTCATAAAAATGTTGAACTTTACTGATATAAACCGTTTCAGAGTTTGGCGTTTCAAATTTTTGAGCCAACTTTGAACAGGGTTATCATGTATCTTTCTATACCCTTTACATACATTGATTCATTGGGTTGTCACCAGCAGTTTCTTGTGGTAGATACGCATCCCCATTGTGTAGATTTGCAGACAGAGGCACAGAAAGGTTCTCCAAGGTGACATAGCTAATAAGTAATAATAAAATGACTGCTGTTCTGTGCCCCTAATTATAGTCTGACATCCTATGAGAATTATCTTTCCTCAGAAGGAGAATTGGTACCAATTTTATCTTACTAAAGCCTGCATGAGAAATGGTATTGTCTGTTGAAATTATAATGCCTTTAAATTTATTTGAAAATATTAAACACTCTACCTTCCCATATGAGCAATAGGCTAGCTAATATTTGAGTATCTATACTAGCCATGCAGTTTCATCAAAAGCGTCACCAAGAAGATAACATTAGAGGCCAGCATTGTGGCGCATTTGGGATACAGCACCACCTGCAATGCCTGCATCCCGTGTGACCACCAGATAGAGTTCCAGCTGCTCCACTTCTGATCCAGCTCCCGGCTAACGTGCTTAGGAAAACAGTAAAAGATGACCCAAGTGCTTGGGCTTGTCGCCCTTATGGGGAAACCCTGATGGAGTTTCTGGCTTCAGCCCAGCCTTTGCTGTCATAGAGAAAGACTGAAATAAGCAATGCACAGAAAAAAGAAAATTTGGAGGCCATTGCAGTGCTTTGCACTAAGAGATGACAGTGGTTTAGACAAGATGGTAGAGTTAAGGTTATAAGAAATGGTCAGATCTGGGATACAGATTTAAAGTTGCGCTAGCAGGCTTTGCTAATGATTGGATATGGGGTGTCCAAAGAAAGAGCAGACTCAGATACCGCCAGTGTGGTGTGCTCACAAGTACCCGCTGTGAGGCCTGCCAAGTTCCCCTCACTTAGCACCATGTCTGATGCACGTGTAATCACCAAGTAAATATTCATTAAATTAGTGGAATGAATAAGTGAAAGCAGCAAGCATTTTTATTTCCTTAAATAAGAGTTTGGGGTTTTTTTTTTAACCTTTTACCCTTTTTTTGTTAAATGACCTTCATTTAAGGGGGAAAAAAAGCTTAAATACTGAAAGCAAATGGGCATATCTCATTTTACCCATGCAGATTTTTTGGCCTTGTAACTGCTTTTCTGTTTTTTGATTGTTTTTCTTGTATCTTAATGTTTTTCTTAGATACCAGCAGTAGTCAACCAAAGCCTTTCAGACGAGTCAGACTTCAGACAACGTTGAGACAAGGTGTCCGTGGTCGTCAGTTTAACAGACAGAGAGGTAAATTTCTGACATAGTGAGTACCTGATAGAGTGTGGGATAATAATAAATGAAATAAATTTTCTAATCCTTAGGCTTACCACTTTTTTTTTTAATGTTCCAGGGATTGATTAATAATATATTGAGTATATACCCACTAGTCAGTAAGCCTCTTGTAAAGATACAGTTGTACACCATTGGTACATAATGAATGTATGCTTATGCTTTGTATTTACTGGTTCTTCCTTAAGTCTAGAGTAAGAATTAGAAGATCTGAAGTGTTCCAGTGCTGCATGTTCATTTATTACACTCTACCTGTTGATACTATTTTGTTAAATATTTTTATGCAACAGAAAGAAGCTTTGTGACTTTTTGTTAGTAAGAAAATATAAATTATAATATTTTCATTTTCTCCTGTAACGGTTAGGTTTCATTCTTACCATAAAATATTAATCTAACTTATAGTGATTTCCATCAAGGATGTGGAATATTTTAATGGTTTTATATCCGTGTTGCTGAGATACTTCACATTGAAAATAAAAGATACATTCAGGGCTGGTGTTGTGGCATAGCGGATAAAGCAACCTGTGATGCCAGCATACTTATGGGTGCTGGTTCATGGCCCAGCTGCTCCTGAATAGTGGCCTGGGAAGGGCAGCAGAAGATGCCCCAAGTATTTAGGCCCTTGCTACTCATGTGGGAGACCCAGATAAAGCTCCTTGCTCTTGCCTTCATCCTGGCCATTGTGACCATCTGGGAAGTGAAACAGCAGATGGAAAATCTCTCTGTCTCACTCTTTCTCTCCACTTAACTCTGACTTTCAAATAAATAATAAATCTTTTTAAAAAAGAAAGATACACTCAATTTATTTCGTTTGTTTTTTGTTTTCTCATAGGTGTGAGCCATGCAATGGGAGGAAGAGGAGGAATAAATAGAGGAAATATTAATTAAATGATCTGTAAACTATAAGTGTGAATAAGATCATCAAATCTCTTTTAGTGTAATGACTGTCAAGTTTAAAAACATTTTTATATTTAAATTGGTATGCTTGTCTCAACATGCTTTATTAATAAAATGTATTTGAATGTCAAAATGTATCATTCTTTTCTTCATTTTCATTAGTTGACTGTTCCTTTGCCCATCAGTCTAAGGACAGTTGTACCAGATCTTGGATAGGGTCTGCCCAGAACGAGTGGTAATTGCTCTTGCAGTTCTGGTAGGCACATCAATGTTGTAGTATTGATCTAAATGAAAGAGAAATTGTTTTTTAATTAGAAAAACACATGAATTCAAAATAACTGGTACTGCATTCATTGTTTATCATTTTAATATCAGATATATTTTTATTACTAGATTTCAACTTTCTGACGAAAACAGTTACCTTGACAAAGTGATCTTTCAGTAAAAGTCATGTTTGAATCTTTTTATAGTAAGCATTTAAGAATAACCAAGTTGGTCTAAAAAATTTCACTTGGATTTTATCCATTTTTAAAAAGTACATTCTGATGTCATTTATATTATAGACTCATAAGCAAAATAATAATTTCTAAGCTTTCCAGAGAAATATCCTGAATAATAAATTCAATTAAAATTTCTCAGAGCATCTTTTATCTTAAGAACTCTGTAATGCAGCAAGTCAGTGTAACTGTGGCAAACAAGGCAACCGTTGGATGCCATGGTTGAGACAAGTAAAGGACCGCCTTCAGCAGCAGTTTTGCTCGAGTAATTGGATGCTTTATTATAATCCCATGAAGATGAGAGCAGAATGGGCTACAGTATCATCTGGTTTAATTGAAATGAAAGCAGAAATCTAAACTGGCTTCACAGCAACTATGTAACTCCCCACTCAATCACCATTGCACATTTCATGTTTGCGCTTTCCTTAACATTCATGTTTTCAAAAGTGAGATTCCCTTGGGATGCTGTTAAAATGTTAACTTGAGAACTTACCCTTAGAAAAAGCATAGTAATCGTAGCCATCAGGTTTTCTGATGTTGGGCAGTGATATAGCTGAGGTGACCACACTTGGAAGCCCTCTCCATATTGTACTCACTTTAACTTCATTATGGAGGAAACCTACAAATGACATTTTTAATAAAAGGCAGATTTAAGAGTATCTTGTCATTCATCTTACAAAGAACCAGGTAAACCTGCATATTGATCTCACTGTGTTCACTTATCACTGTTACATAGTGAGTTGATTTCTGTGCTACAGTTTTTGCCCTCTGATGTAGCACTAATCCCCGAGTATTGAAATATTGAGAAATAATTTTGAAAGTGACAGATTTGTATTCAGTGCTGTTGGTAAGAGGTACTTGATAAGTAGTATTTTTTATAGTGAACAAACTTAAGAAAACTGCTTTTACCCACCCAAAAATAAAAGATTGATCTTTGTTTACTCACTCAAATTGATGTGTTTTACATTAGAAAGCTTAAAAATATTACAGCAATTTGATGAATAGTCATGTGTAAGAATCTATAAATCAGTTAAATGTTACCTTTGTCTTGGTAAGCAACTCTGACTGGTGAGTAGTGGATTCTGATGGTATGTGTCTGTGGTCCCAGGGCCCGCTCGAAGCGCCGCCTCCTAATCTGGGCCGTTTCTCCATACACGGAATAATTTATAGGCGTCCGTCTCGTACACTTTCTGACAGGTTCCTGCTTGTAAGTGTACTGCTGGATGCTGCCACCTATTACGTATTAGGAAATAGAATGCGAAAATGAATTTTAATCCTCTAAGAAAAGATAGTTTTACAATGTGAAGTAAATGGTCAGTATTTTTTCTAATTTTGCATAAAAATATTTCCAGATATTAATAATGGGTATTGAACAAGTGTGTTACTCAGTACTAAGCCCTGAAATACAGGTTGAGTAAATTCAGCAAATTGCAAAATCATGTATTTAAACTTTATTGAAAGTAAATGATGATATTCTTTTATTAGTGACCTAAAAACTCAGAAGAATTGATATGCATGTCAAGAAATGAAGTCACTACTCCGAAGGCAACAACTCTTGCACCCAAAGTAACCACGTCAACCAAAAAGACAACTACCACTGAAGAGTCCGCGAATAAATCTGAAGTAGTAACACCTGCACCGAAAGACACAGCTACTGGTGCTAAAGCAACTCCTAGCCCCCCCAAACCAACCAAACCATCCAAAAAGCCCACTTCTACTAAAAAGCCAACCAAAGCCCTTCATTTTTATTTTCATTGGAAATATTTGATTCCAGCTCTTAAAGATACCCTTTGATAGTAAACCCAAGTAATAAAATATTAAATAAAAATCAATTTGTAAAAAGCTTTGTAATTGTTTCAATTATATAACACATACCTCTCTTGAAAAAATACACAGATTCAGGCCTGTTCTTGTATTTAGCTATTGAAAGAGCTGCCACTATTTTTCCAGTTAGTCCTCCAAATCCTTTCACAATTTGTTTGGGATACCCTGCATCTTTTATATCATTGGTGAATCGCCAGTATTGAGAATCCTGATATTTTAAAAGAAAAAATTATGTTAACAGTTTTTTGGGGAAAAAGAGATCCTTAGATCTAAGTGTAGGGGGAAAGCATTAACTTAGATGTTTGAATTAGTTAATCATTAATGTTACCAAATTAAGTGTTAACTAAGCTTTGAACAGTTTGTTAAAATAGGATACTTCTAAATTGTAGATTAGAGTGATTTATGCTGGCATAATAAACTGCAGTTACTGTTTGCTACCACCCCTCAGTATTTTTGTTACCTTAAAGAAGAAAGTTTTTCCTTCACAGTTGCATCTGGTAAAAACAGTATCAATGGGGGAAGGTATGCCCCAGACATCGGTAATTCTGCGAGGTGGAGATGGTGGACTGAATGGGTTCAGCATCCAGAAATAATGACCTGAGAGAAAGATACGTCAGCCTACAAGCTGAATATTAAAACTTCTCTCCCAAGGAAGCCAAAACAAGAACATTTTTAATGGTTATCATAGAGAAATACAGGCTTAATGTGTTCATGAGCATCATATTTCTAGAAGCATAGGCAGACACAGAAGGTAGTATTGGAGCATTTCTGAGAACAGGTATTAAGTCAAATTTAGCATAACCTTTGAAAGAAAAACCTTTAGCCTGTAATTTACAGAAAGTCATTCACTAAACCTCAGTTTCTTTTTTAAATTAGGCAGATATAAAAGCCTCCAGCCACTACTGTGTAAGTATGATTTGTTTCTGTACAGGTTTAACCCAAATGTTTCAGGACTGGACCAGCAGAATACAGGAAAGAATTAACATGAAATGACTGCTGTTTGTTTCTCTCCCACAGCATGATGCTTCCCAATAGCGATGTTATTTTCAAACAGCAAGGAACACAAACCCTGAAGTCCTATTTTTTTTCTTTTTTGTAAGAAATTAAAGCTTGAACTAACTGCCTTTTAAATCCTAATAGTAGGAAAAACCTCAAGAATTCGTTCAAGGTCTTTATTTTTTTGGTGTTTTATTTAATGTGTCTCATTTTGCTAACCTGTTATTTTAGTTACTCTCAGGTTCTCATGGTTAAATCAAGGTCATCTGTCAATTGCCCTGCAGAAAGTTCGCCCTGACTAGCACCCTCTCACTGCTTGGTTTTTACAAACACTTGGGCAGAATGACAGCAGGAACGCAAGGGTGCACCCAGCTCACCTCGAAATGCAACCAGTGTCCCGTTGCGCAGCGTAGTCAGCCCGTCTACTGGCTTACCATTGCACAAATTGGTCTCATCTAAAACTGATAAAAAAAATTCATGCAGAACAGAATTATCTTTTTGAATCCTCCACAGAGTTCCACTTCTTGTTCATCTTTTCCTAAGTTCTTTAAGGGCACAGTTTGAAGTTTTTGAATTCCAGAGGTTGAAAGAGAAGAGATGGTACTACTCAAAGGTATTAGATGAAAGTAAGTTATGAATTGGAGTGGGCCAGGTTACCTTGGTCATGTAAATTAGATTTTCATGTCAGAATGTGAACACGTGTTCAGTCTGAGTCCCTTTGGAATGGTTTGGAAAAGGAAGTAATAGGAATTTTTGATTTGCATTGTGCTTTGAGGATAGACTCCCAGCTAAATTTGACTGACACTCTGTGTCATCTCTGCACCTTACAGGCACAAATGGACTGAATTCCTACCCCCAATTATTACTCCACTTCCTGAAGACTGAGTAAGCTTACATGACTAGTCTTTGGCTTGCTTACAAGGCCAGGGTTCTAGGTAATGTATCTGGTGAGTGGTAGTAAGACATTATCAATTTTAAAAATATAAGTAGCTGGTGATTACCTGAGAGCATGGGGTTGGTGATGATGCCGTCACTGGGTCCTCTCACTATGTACTCAGTGCCTGGGACAAGTATAGGGATGAAGCCAGGGGGCCTGGGGATCACATAAGGCTTCTCTTGCTCCTCTGCACCTTCGTTCTTTGGGTGTGCTTCGACGGTTTCTGTGTCTCGAGTTGGGGTGGGGCTTCTGGTGGCTTGGAGCATGGCTTCTGCCACAGAGGCAGGGTTCAGTTCAGACAGGGTTGGTGTAGTTGTCTTTGGCAGGGGTGGGGTAGTCTTTGGTTTCTTCACTTTTGGTGTGTTTGGCTTCTTGGTAGAAGTGGGCTTTTTGGGCACTTTGGTTGGCTTTTTAGTAGAAGTGGGCTTTTTGGATGGTTTGGTTGGTTTGGGGGGGCTAGGAGTTGCTTTAGCACCAGTAGCTGTGTCTTTCGGTGCAGGTGTTACTACTTCAGATTTATTCGCGGACTCTTCAGTGGTAGTTGTCTTTTTGGTTGACGTGGTTACTTTGGGTGCAAGAGTTGTTGCCTTCGGAGTAGTGACTTTGAATGACGTGGTGTCTTGAGTTGTGGCAGATGTCACTTGCCTGATTGTGCTTGTGATTTTGGCTTCGGGAGTCTTGTCTTCTGTTTTAGTTGCAGCTGTTGTCATTTCAGGTGTAGTGTGTATGTCTTTTTCTGTGTTCTTGTCTTTAGCTGTTGTGATCATTTCAGATTGGATCACTCCAGGAGTCTTAGTTGTAGGTACAGCAGGCTGCTTGGGGCTGTTTTCAAGAACCTTTGGTGTGGGTCCTGTGGAAGACTCAGGAGTTGATTCAGCAGGAGTCTTGGTAGTGGGAGCCCCCATGGTGGTAGTAGGAGCAGGTGTCAGAGGCGTAGTTGGAACAGGCTCCTTGGGGGTGGTGGGGGCAGGTTTCTTGGGGTTTGTGGGTGCTGCTACCTTGGGGGTGGTTGGAACAGGTTCCTTGGGGTTGATGGGAGCAGGCTCCTTGGAGGTAGTGGGTGCCAGTTCCTTGGGGTTTGCGGGTGCTGGTTCGTTGGGTGTGGTTGGAGCAGGTTCCTTGGGGTTGGTGGGGGCTGGTTCCTTAGCACTGGTGGGTACTGGTTCATTTGGTGTGGTTGGAGCAGGTTGCTTGGGGTTGGTGGGTGCTGGTTCCTTGGGTGTGGTTGGAGCAGGTTCCTTGGGGGTGGTAGGTTCTTGTTCTTTGGGGGTTTTAGGTGCTGGTTCTTTGGGAGTAGTGGGTGCTGCTGGCTCTTTGGAAGTAGTGGGTGCTGGTTCCTTGGTGGTGGTGGGAGTAGGCTCCTTGGGGATGGTGGGTGCTGGTTCTTTGGGGATGGTGGGTACTGGCTCCTTGGAGGTGGTGGGTGCTGGCTCCCTGGGCGTGGTGGGTGCTGGCTCCCTGGGCATGGTGGGTGCTGGCTCCTTGGGGGTGGTAGGTTCTGGCTCTTTGGGAGTGGTGGGTGCTGGTTCCTTGGGCGTGGTGGGTGCTGGTTCCTTGGGCATAGTGGGTGCTGGCTCCTTGGGGGTAGTGGGTGCTGGCTCCTTGGGGGTGGTGGGTGCTGATTCCTTGGGCGTAGTGGGTTCTGGCTCTTTGGGAGTGGTAGGTGCTGGTTCCTTGGGCATAGTGGGTGCTGGCTCCTTGGGGGTGGTGGGTGCTGATTCCTTGGGCGTAGTGGGTTCTGGCTCTTTGGGAGTGGTAGGTGCTGGTTCCTTGGGCATAGTGGGTGCTGGCTCCTTGGGGGTGGTGGGTGCTGATTCCTTGGGCGTAGTGGGTTCTGGCTCTTTGGGAGTGGTAGGTGCTGGTTCCTTGGGCATGGTGGGTGCTGGTTCCTTGGGAGTGGTGGGTGCTGGCTCCTTGGGGGTGGTGGGTGCTGGTTCCTTGGGGGTGGTGGGTGCTGGTTCCTTTGGCGTGGTGGGTGCTGGTTCCTTGGAAGTGGTGGGTGCTGGTTCCTTTGGCATGGTGGGTGCTGGTTCCTTGGGAGTGGTGGGTGCTGGCTCCTTGGGGGTTGTGGGTGCTGGTTCCTTTGGCGTAGTGGGTGCTGGCTCCTTGGGGGTGGTGGGTGCTGGTTCCTTGGGCATGGTGGGTGCTGGTTCTTTGGGGGTAGTAGGTGCTGGTTCCTTGGGCGTGGTGGGTGCTGGTTCTTTGGGGGTAGTGGGTGCTGGTTCTTTGGAAGTGGTGGGTGCTGATTCCTTGGGGGTGGTAGGTGCTAGTTCCTTGGATGTAGTAGGTATTGGCACTTTGGAAGTGGTAGGTGCTGGTTCCTTGGTGGTGGTGGGAGCAGGCTCCTTGGGGGTGGTGGGTGCTGGTTCCTTGGGAGTGGTGGGTGTAGGCTTCTTGGTGGTGGTGGGTACTGGTTCCTTGGTGGTGGTGGAAGCAGGCTCCTTGGGGGTAGTAGATGCTGGTTTTTTGGGGGTGGTGGGTGCTGGTTTCTTGGTGGTGGTGGTGGGAACAGGCTTCTTGGGGGTCGTGAGAGCAGGGGCTTTGGTTGTAGTTTCTGTTTTGGGTGTAGGTTTAGCAGGAACTTCCGGTGTGGGTGCAGAATCTTTCTCGGCAGTCCGTGTCTCTTTAACTGAGGCTGTCTTTTCTTTTGCGCTAGTAGACGTCTGTTTGTTTGTTTCAGTAGTCTCTTTAGTTTTAACTGTTGTCTCTTTATTTGATGTTGAAGGTTTCTCTTTGGGTTTAGGTGGAAGACTGGGTTTAGGATTTGTTGGTTTTACTGTTGTAGTCTTGGGAGATGTGGTGACTTTACTGCGGGGGGTGGTAGGAATGTCAGGAGCTGGGGCACTGTCCAGGCCACTTCCAGCTTCATCTGTGGCTGGTGGCTTTGGAGCAGGTTCCTTCTTAGGAGTTCTTTTCTTCTTGTTGTCTTTTACTAGAGAAAATAATACACATCTTGTTAGTTTGGAAAAACTTTTTTTTTCTTGAATGGTGACACAAAGATCCCATCCTTATCATTGACCAACGTGTTTCTAGGCAAATTGCTAACCTCTAATAGGTCCATTAATTTACTGTTAAGATGGTAAATACTCAACCTATCTTATTGGGCTGTTTTAGGGAATGAATGAGGTAAGGGATGGAAAACCCAAGTGGAACTCGATACAGTTAACAGATGGAAGCCAGTGGCAACTGTGAAATTACCAACATGACCAGGAACAATAATCCATCTCTTTGTTTACCCTTTCTCCCCTCCCCTAATTCCCCTCATTCCTCTTTGCCTGGTGCTGCCCCTTCCTTGTAGAATTCTAATTCCAATTTATGGTTTCACTGCACCAATGACCCCAGAGCCCTCTAGCAGCCACTGAAGGGTCTGCCATGTCACCCCAAGTCCTGGCAAACCCTGTTCCCATACACAGGGCAGTTAGCTGCTGTCTGTCTTTCTCTGCCAGTCCCAGGGACATGAGGTGATTAGGATGTCATGGCAACAAGACAGTGTAATGGAATTTCCTATTGTAGCAATGCCATTGGTGAACTACAGAGCCCAGCGGCACTGCACTGAGATGGATTCCGTTGGGCAAACATGTGTTGCACTCATTGTGTTGCAGGATCCTCTGGACAACCCAAAAGCTAATGATCTGACTCTTAGGCTAGAGAGAATACTTCAGAGGGAGTCACAAACCTAGCATGTCCTGGAGCAAGAGAACATATATTAGAATTTCAGGGGATATTAAAGAGCAAAACAAAGAGGATATTTTCCAGAAAGTTAAAAGCCTGCTCTGTAGTACATTCTCCACTAGAAGGAAATCAGCCAATCATCAAAGAAAATAATAAAGAGGCTCTGTGAGATGGATAATGATAATGCCTTTCCACTGAGGTTTATGAGAAGTACATAGAGTGATAGTTATGAAACAGTTGAAATCATGTATGTGTTAAACGAAGCTGCAGGAGGGAAAATGAGGACAAGGAAGGTGCAGGGAGGGGAAGGAGGCGCCATGGTGTCAGGAGACAGGAACTGCAGTAGAACAATGTAGTAACCGTCTCTGCAGCCTCCCAGGGGGCTCCATGGTCACCACGCAGCCTCTGAAGCTTGCTTCCATGAGTGGTTTCTTGGCAGCTTGGCGCTGATGTCCTGCCCACCTCTAACCTGATGCTTTCTAAAATGACTTCTGGAGTTACACACCCCCTCCCCCCAGATATCAGGATACCCTCAGGTCATTCTGCCAGCACACACTATTTTTCAATAATTGGTGTTAATACGGCATTGATATAGTCTTTGATCTTTATCAATGCTCAAACCTTTGGGTTTCTTCTGTAATTCTCTATTAGCAGCTGAGTTTTTGGAAGACTTGATTTTCCGAATAGTTGAAGAGGAAGAGGAAGAGGAGGAGGAGGACTCTTGATTTTCAGAAACAGAGTGTTCTATAAATCAAATAAAAAGGTTGATCATAACAATTGTGATTTAAAACAAAAAAGAACCGCCAGTCTAAACACAGTTAGAAATGCTGTTTACTTTCTGATCTGCAAATGTCTGAGTTCTGCTTTTAGTTTATCAATCATACGATCAGCTGCCTTTTTAATTACTCAGTAAAAGCCAAGGCACCTGAGCTCATCATAAATACCAGCAAAATAATTTTTTCTTAACTTTCCTACATCTCCAGAATTTCTCACAGAATCTGATTATTTTGCAAAGAAAATCATGGGTTTTTATGTTACTTTTTTTATAGTAAAATGTATCCTTCTGATTATTAACCCGAAGTCATACTGGGTTAGTAAATCAGGAAAGTATATAGGTACTTGCAGGTTCATCCTTTGACTTCAGCTTTGACTTACAGTGAGCAAACAAAAAGTACAGTGAGCCTTTCAGGACTCATGAGAGAGCAGTCTGATCTAAGTAGTCCGCCTACAGGCCTTTTGTCACATCTGTCATCTTCCTACCTTCCGTTATTTCCTCTGATTCTATAACTTTCTTAGTCTTCTTCTTGTTTGGTGATTTGGGTGAGCGTTTAGTTGTTGATTTGATGGTTTGAGATGCTCCTGGAGGCGGAGGTGCAGGCTTGGAAGATGGTGGTGATGTGGGATTATGCACTGAGGCCAAGCAAGACAGGTGGGTTAACATTAGATTCATCAGCAACCGTAACTGTGAAAAGCATGAGTGTATCTGGCTTCAAAGAGGAGATGCTGGTGAAATGCAGTGCGGGCCGAATCTAGCCAAAAAGTAATCACACTAAACCAGCCAGTTCTGAGGACGCACTGAGGAAGTAAAGCATCAGCCCTCAGATGACCAAGTTAGGACATGGCAAAGGCTCAGCAATCAGAAGACCTGGGTTCCGTTCTAGACCTGGGTGACCTCGGGCAAATAGGCTGAATTTCATGTTCTTGTCTGCAACTAGATGTTCATGCAAGATGATTTCTGAAGGTGTTTGCCCACCTTGAAAACACTTGATCCTGAACTTCATCTGCCACGCCACCCTCATGTGATCATAAAGACAGTCATGCATGTCGATGACAGTCAAGTCTGCACATTCAAGTCATCAGCGATGGCTCTTGCTGTCTGCCTTCCCCTACCCCTTTTCATGTCAAGAAGACAAGACACAGAGCACCTGTGGAGGGTTTGGAAATGGGAAGCACAAGAGGAGAGGGGCTCCTGGGCAGCAGGGACTCTGGAGAGAGGCCATGAGCCTCCCGCTGCCCACGCTGCATGTGCTCAGCTCTGCATTGCTATGACTCTGAGCTGACCACTGGAGCTGTCCCTCTGCCCCCTCTCCCCCCAGAACTGTCCAGAGCCCAGTGTGAGGAGCAGCTCTGCCTGAGCCAGCCGTCCTGGAGTGGACCAGCTGCCCTGTGGGCTCAGTTCTTTAGCCACACTCAGACTGCTACGCTTCCCGCGTTCTGGAGAGGTTATGATCTTTATAGAGATACCCACGTCACTAAGCGGGATCTGCAGCAACCCTGAAACAGGTTTGCTTGTTACTGAGTGAAATAAAGTGCAGATGCTGTGTGTGGCTCAGTTATTTTCAGCTGAAGCCCTGTGAATCCTGTAAATGAAGCTCCACCTGAACCTCAGGTAACCTGACCCACCACTTCGTAGCATTAAGTATTGTCCTCTCACTCACCTTCCTCCCTGCCCACCCCTCCTCTGCCCCAAATGCACGCTTTGTTTTTTGTCTCACAGCCAAGACAATTATCAGGGCAGTGCCACTCATCATGGGGCTCTGGGGAAGCTTGCAGGAGTGCTGAGCCCTGAGTTTTCTGATTACGAGGGTGTTGTCTCCGCTGTTTTTGGAATGCTTTCCAATGGAAACATTGGACAGTTATCAAAACTCTGCTGATGGACAACCTTCCACCCATTCTGTGTGTGTTCTAAAGAAGCAGGTGGTGCAGGCTTGTTTAAATAAAACGATAAGGTTATGCAAGCAATGCTTATTCTCACTTTCACCTCCACATGTCTCCTCCTTTTAACCAAGCAGGAGTTAGGAACAAGCTTTTACTCAAGGAAAGCAATTCGTAATCCAAGTATGCTTTTCAAATATTTTTTTGGCAGAATATGGAGAGTTGTGTCAGATACCAAGAACCCCTCCAGGGCTAAAACCAGAGAAGAGGACTCTCAGGTAGGACTCTCCTTTTCCAATGATCTGTCAGACCCGGGCATTGGAATAGGGGCCCCTGTGAGGACTGCAGACATGGGAAGGGACGTGTAATTGACTCTCAAGAATTTCTTAGTACATTTGCCTGTTCACTTAACCTGAATCTGAGCCACCTCTGAAAAAAGTAGTATTACACTCCATCCCTTGCCTGTCACCCAGCAGCCACCTCCTGTGCCCCTGGGGCCTGGCTGAGCCAGGGGCTGGCGCTGCTAGAGGACACTTCTCTTCTTCAATTCGTCTTCATGAAACAAAAGTGTTATTAGCAGCTCACATGTGAGTAAAATCAAGGGTGCAGACAGACTGCTGCTTAGGCGTGACGGTGAGGATGACAGGGGAGTGTGCACCTGGCAGTGCTGGGAAGCACGGACTGTCAGGAACCGCTTACCTTCTTCGCAGAATTTCTCGTAGTCGGAGCAGCACTTGCCATACTTCTTGCACTGGGCATCACAGTCACATTCCCTGCCTCGTGCAAAGGACTCGAAGCAGCGGCCCTTACAGGAGAGCTCTACCCAGAGCAGAACAGAACGTTAAGGATTAGTGATTATGAACCTGGTCCCCTGTATACGTAGCCCTTTCCTGCTTTGGCTGACCAGAATTCTAAGGAGCATTTCTAAGTCTTTTATTTGGAGTTTGGACTACATCATCCAGCAGCCAATGGATGATGTTCCAAATGGAGGCAGCCCAGGTCAAGAAAGAAATATGGCGACTGGGAAACTCTGCTTGCCTGTGCAGGCTCCAAGAGACACCCCAGTGCGTGGGAGTCGTTTCTGTGCTTGGCCAACAGGAAACTCCTCCTCACGCCCAGCTGTGGAGTGCATTTGTAGCACCTAGACGTTGTAGAGGCCCCACAGCAATGTATTTCAAAACTGGCTTAGCACGAGTGGGTCATCTCCAGTGCAGAGACCTTTACTGGGACGAAGTGGACGAGGTATTGAGGTGAGAGGTTCCCACCTAACCCTGTGGTGTGGACCACGTAAGAGAGCCCTGCTCACCACCCAGGAAGCCCTGGCTCGAGGTGCAGTGACTTGCCAAGGCCTGCTTGACATAACGACCTCACCCAACACGGAAACTGTACAATGTGTTTACCAACGTCACAGGCAAATTCTAAAGCAGATATAACTTGGAAATTTTAATTATCACTTTCATAAATGAAATATGAAATACTTCTGTGTTAATAACAGTGACCTTAAATATGTTATAGTAAGACACCAATCATAATTTGAAGTTCAGATTCTTTGCATTTTAGCTGGAACTCATCATTACAAACCCTGGTGCTTCACCTCTGAAGTGCCTTGTTCAGGCAGTTTTCAAACATCTTACGTTCAAAGAACACAATAGAGTCTGGCTCCTCACTACGCCATTCCATCTCTGATGGTTGGTCAAACAATCTCTCAGTACCAGTTACCTAATGATTCCTGAGTCACATAATAAGTTTCCATTTTAAAGAAGACGTTTTACTTGAGTGAGACAGGGACTTGCTGCAAGTGGCTTCCCATCCCCCAGCAGTGCGCACACGTCCTCAGGTGCAGTGCACAGCAACATTTAGGCGAGTGAAGGGAGCAGCACTCAAGCAAAGGAAGTGGAACAGGTGGGAAAAGAGCTCTGCCGGGGTGCAGCGGGTCACAGACAGTGCTGCACGACAGGAGGCGCCAGCACTCAGCACTTACCCACCGTGCAGACTTTCTTGAAGTCAGGGCAGCACTCCATGTAGTGTTGACAGTTATAATCACAGTTGCAGGTGGCATCTCTAGAATACCCTTCCCCACATCTCCCTGCACAGCTTGGTAAATCTAAAATGATACAACACTGGGATGAACATGGCCCGAGCCCAGGGAAGGCAGGGACAAGGACAGCCATATGGTGAGGTGCAGCTTTATCCACTGTAGCCTGCCGGGGATCATGGTTAGCAACAGTCCAGGTGCTACTCGGGCCTGATTTCTTGTGAGACCTTGATAATGCCAATTTATTCTTCACTTGACCAGATAATGGCACTTTTGAAAACCAGGCCAAATACAATGTCTTTGCACAAAGAGGGTGAGATTTTGGGGCCGGCAGCAGCGTCAGCTTCGAGGGCTCCTGCTGCTGATTACCCGCAGCCAATACCAAGCACGTCAGGGCCAGTTACGGAGTCATGCAGGGTCCGTGAGAGCCACAGAAGCCCCTGTTTTGAGGTAAGGAGGCTGGAACACAGAAATTGTACTAACTTGCACAATGGCACATAGCTAGTATTAGTTCCTGTATACATGTGTTGTAAGTCAACTGTTATCTGTTAATTATTGGTGCTGACCTCTTTCATGCTTATAAGTGCTATGATTTGGATAATAACTTACATGGTCTTCCTAAGAAAATAGCCCACCCAGACTTTGAACTCAGATCTGATCCAAAAGCCCAGGTTTTCTGCTCAGTTGGCTTGGCTTCCCACACCTGAGGAGGAGCAGCTGAAATCTGGCTGTACTATAAATCTGACTATACTAGGAGTTCAGCTCCTCTGTTGGTGTGGATGATAGAGAACACTTAAGGCAGCATCTAGATATTAATATAAAGTCATGATCAGAGTTCTTCTAGGCCAAAACCAGATGTAATCATGATTACCCTCAAATATTTTTTAATTCACTTGAAAA